CGGCCAAAACCCCAAAGTCTACTTGTGCCAGTCATATATAGTTGGTTGAGAACAACAAAGGATTTTACTGTTAAAGATAAAATTACGTTTCAGAATGTAGACCTGCCTTCCTTAGGGCAGTGCGAGTATGGTTGTTACTGTTTCTTTCACCATGCAATGTCAAGGAATTGTGTGGTCAGCAATATGGTCAACCGAATTTACTCTTCGAATTCGTTTGAAAGTGTTGTGGTGTTGATGTGGTGGTGGTAGTGTTGTGGTGATGATGCGGTGGTGTGGAAGTGTTGTGATTCTGATGTGGCAATGTGGTTGTGTCGGAGTGTGGAAATGTTGTGCTGTTTATTGTATTGTGCAATGCTAGTTACAAATATCACAACATAGTACAGATAGGTCAGAGAAATTCGAAATAAAATACTGTAAAAGACTGTTTTCTAAAGAAACGATTTAACAAATGGGTCTGATTATTCTAAGAAGAAATTGTGGAGAAAAAATCCAAAATAAGAAAAATCATTATCTAATTAATTGATTGGCTAATCATGTCTTGTAAGATCTTAACAAAACAACCCAATGCATTTTAAAAGAAAACTTGGAAAAATAAATACTCAAACTAGTAGATTTATTTCCCTTTTCGCTTTTTAAAATAATTTTCTCTAATTAGTTTCAGGGTAAGATACATTTTTAAAATCTTATCTGAGGTCACTTTGACCTACGTCGCATAGAGTTTTATCTAATTTTCTCTTAGGCTAAATTTAATTTGTTACATCTGTAAACCCGTGTCATTTTAGATAGCCGGACTATCTAATATGTCGCTGGCCAATTAGGGACTGCAACACAATGACAACGCATCAGGGCGGCCCACCTAATGAACCAGTAAGAATGGCCGACATGAAAGGGCGCTAATGTGATGGATATGTTTACCATCGGCTCACGTGACCACCATTAGCCTGTCATGAGGCGGCCATAAACCACATATCCAGCCACGGGCTAGTGCGTGATGCTTGAGTCGTTCAACGCTGTGGCCTGCGAGGATTAGAGTTCCAGCATCAATATATATATATATATATATATATATATATATATATATATATATATATATATATATATATATATATATATATATATATATATATATATATATATATATATATATATATATATATATATATATATATATATATATATATATATATATATATATATATATATATATATATATATATATATATATATATATATATATATATATATATATATATATATATATATATATATATATATATATATATATATATATATATATATATATTAGTATATATATGTGTATATATATACTATATATATATATATATATATATATATATATATATATATATATATATATATATATATATATATATATATATATATATATATATACATACATACATACATACATATATATATATATATATATATATAAATATGCCCTATTTATATATATATATATATATATACAAAATAGGCCATATATATATATATATATATATATATATATATATATATATATATATATATATAGGCCAATATATATATATATATATAGGCCATATATCTTAAATATTAAGATTTTTTTAACGTTTCTTTTTCATACCCGGCAGTCCATGGAACAAATAAAGTAGTGTACCTGCTTCCATGACTTCGACTTTTGTAGGGATAGTTGGTCAGCATAATGCCCAACCGTCTGTACCTTCCAACCATCAGGCAGGTACCCATTCGAGTTTTGTGGAGAGAGACGTACTACGGACTTTCAAGTTAGCAGTCACACTCTCTACCATCCGATTATAGACTCTACTACATGTACTCACAAATTTTGTGAATCATGTGTGAGTGACATCTAACCCGAAAGTTTCGAGTTCGAATCCGGGTTCAAGTCAGTAGAGCGTCCACACAGCTCTGGTGGTTACCTAACTCACTTTAGAGAAAGTAAAAACGCTAGGAATAGTGCTGCCCACACAATCCCATCATATGCCGAGGTCACAAAAACAGGTGAACTCTACTTCACTTGCCCTGTGGACCATCAGGCTCTAAAGAGGAACTTTAATTTAGTCGTACTCTCTACCATACAAGTATCAGTTGTACCAAATGGATTCACGACCCATGTCGGGGGATAAACCATATTCCTAATTTTTCACCAAATTCTGCGCCATAAGCAGGAAGTGTTCTGAAATATTTTTTTTTAAATGGTTTGTCCATGCAAACGGCTCACTTTGATTCCGGAATTATTCCGACGATCTCCGGATAACCAGGGGCGATAATCATTAATTAGATCCAATTAATAAAGCTCGGCGGCTGCCTGTTTGTTCACGTAGATATCTAGCCAACGTTTGGCTGGCAAACATATAAGGATGGGAGACGGAGTTATGGTGGTTGTGGCTATCTGAGGGGAAAGGGAGGGATAGTATAGAATGGGATGGTATTACAGTTAGTAATGCGAGCAGCTCGGTTAATCCTTTGGGTTTGTGATGGAGGTTTCAGATATATATATATATACATATATATATATATATATATATATATATATATATATATATATATATATATATATATATATATATATATATATATATATATATATATATTAATACAATATATAATATATATTTATGTCTGTGTGTTTATGTATATATATATATATATATATATATATATATATATATATATATATATATATATATATATATATATATATATATATATATGATTTATTTATATTTACATATATGTATATATATTCGTATATGTAACTATAACTATGCGTATCAGTGTACGTACTTACGCAACCTATACGTATATTTGCATGTATATGTGTATGGACAGATCAGTTTTGATCCGACAGGTCATGTTTACCTAAATAGTAACTGCTCACCAGTCAATAGCCGGTCCCAGACTTGATAGCCAGCACTGAGCAGGTCTGCCACTCCTATTTACTCTTTGACTAATGGGTTGATCCTGCCGGTTGATGCTACACAAACAATCAGGCGAATTAGTTCGTGCCAACACCGGAATGTAGGACGAGAGTCATCCGCCCTTAATAATAAACCACTTCGCGCCGAGATTAATGAGAAAATATTGTCTCAAGTACGAACGCACACAAACACAAACTGCACATAAATCATACACAGAGCTTACAGACAAAACAGCCCGGTAGTTGACCTACCACCCCACCCCCAAGCTACGCCTCTGAACCACAAAATCATTCCTACAAAAGCATACATTCACACAATGTACTTTTGAATCTTTCGCTATTCGAGTCGACTAGGCTAGGAATTTATCGACAAAATAATGTAATGGACAAAATAAAATCACTTCATTGATCATGTAAGAGCAGAGGCGTAGCAATGGGGGGGGGGGTACATATATCCTCGGGCGCTGACCTTAGGGGCGCAAAAATTGGTTGGAAAAACAATCTAAAATCTCATTTTAGCTGCAGTTTTGCATTATAAATATATGGGGTGTGCAAATGGAAAGTTTGAGGGGAGGGGGTGCAATTGAAAGTTTGTCCCCGGGCGCCGGGAAGGGTCGCTACGCCTCTGTGAAAGAGATATTTAGAATACACAATAATAGTTCTATATTACAAGAACCGTGTTCTGTATGATATTCAGAGGTTGTTTTTTTTTTTTGCCAATTAAAAGTACACTTTTTTTTGCATATATTGTTCTCTTGTGGTATAATACGAACTGTTGGCCTATAACATTGAATTTTGCTTTATTTTAATCAACATTTTTTTTTGGGTGCTAAATCTCCGCTGAATTAGGTCGACACAACTGGCAAGCAAATATGTTCTTGAAAACAATTTCAAGCTTGATTACTGTTGTTATAAAAATATAACCGATTATTATTTTGTTTAAAATGTAGTAGTCTTGTATGCTTAGTCCAGAACAAGGTTTCTTTCGGATATTTTTCTATGGGGTGGGGGTGGGGGGGCTCTTGAAACTTCAGGAAGAGGGGTATGGGCATCTAAAACTTCCGGTGGGAAAAGGGGGAGGGGGGGGCACTGGTTAAAGGAGGCCTATTTATTTTCTATAAAAATTATGTTTTGTCTATTTCGTCGGGAGGGGGCGGGGGGGGGGGGGGGAGCGTACCTGTTCTGAAGGTGCAGAACTGGGACGTGGACTTTGGATCTAGTCTGTGTGTGTGGTGGGAGGGGGGGGGGGGGGCGTGCAGGATTGATGGTGGTCCATGTAATTAATTTGTAACGATATGTGAGGTAAAACGAAAAGTAAATTTATCCTTTCGAACTTAGCGGCTCACGTGGCAGTGGAAGTAGAGTTCGGCTGTTTCATTGACCTTAGCATATGAAGGTATAGTGTAATCAGTACTGACAGTACTATGCCCAGCAGCCTTTAAGAAAACGAAAGTGTGACGGGTACCCAATCAGAGCTAGGTGGACTTCCAGTTCAACAGTAGTGTGTTCTACTGTCTGACCACGAAGTCTTATAGTATGGGTGTAGGGGGAGGTTAAATGTCCTGTTTGGATGTTAGATCATGATCACTTATATTTGTGCATGATCGTTTAAGTCTTAACCCAATGAACGTGTAGCCTAGCCTTAGTGCTAGCCATTTGTACTATGGCTTCCACTTCAGTGTAAATGTAGCTTCATAAGTTTACGATTTTTCTATGGAGAAATGTGTGAAGAATCTGGGGACAATAATTTTAGGCCAAGCTATAGCCTACACAATACACAAACATACATTTGGTATTTATTATTCAACAGTAGAACGTTAAATTTTTTTTTTTTTTTTTTTAAATCCTACGTCTTTATTATTATTTATTTTTGAAAAGCGCTTTAAAGAATGATTTTTTTTTTCAAACACTAGATTCTATTAGAGACAAAACACCTTTACATTCACTGTATTTCCCTGATACACAATTTGTTTATTCGCGCATTGTTAATGAGTGAATACATAATTTAATTCTCCTTCTCAAGAAGGCAGCGAGCCATAAGTCACGTGACAACCCGGAAATATAAAAACATGTGAACCGAACATCAACAAGGAAATAAATTAATCTCATCTGTCATTCGTTTTCATCAGACCCACTTCATTTTTATCATTTGTTTTTTTCTGTAAGAGCTACTAAAATATAAAAAACAACGCATAAACTAAGTGCAGATAGTAGACATCTGATATTAGCTTTTTAGACAACGAATAAACATGGCTACAGATGAACTTGCTGCCAAACTTAATCGACGGAACTTGATCAACGAAAGTGAAGAAGGAGCTGCACCATCTTCTTTGCCGTCATCACAAGTTTTCAATCCTTATACTGAGTTTAAAGAGTTTAGTAGGAAACAAATTCAAGATTTTCAAAAGACGTTTAACAAGTAAGTTTAATCCGTGCTAAATAATTTACTGGGTTTTGCAACTGTCACAGCCCAGTCGCTGGTACTTCTTGACTCAACACTCAACAGACTAAGACTACAGTCAACCAACAGTGACCAGTCCGTTCAGTCAAGTGGTGTTACTAATAATTCTCAATCTAAAATACTAAAAATCATACTAGTTTATTACTAGATTAGATCTAGAGATCTAGATCTATTTTTTTTTCTAAATTAGGCTATAGAAGTAGATTCTACATAGAAATCACATGTGTATAAAGTATAATACTTAGTAATTTTAGTATAAGTGTATAATTAATAATTTAATATTGGTCCCTATTTCGTTTTGGTTGTCAATTTCCACAGTTAACTGGAAATAATAAGCATTCAATTTCAGGGTCCCAGCTTACCATTAAATTATCAGCACCATTTTTAAGAATCAAGAATAAAAAGCAATACCTGATGAAAAGGCATTCCTGTTATTTAACTTTTATTTAGTGTTAATAATTAACCATTAGGCCTAACAAGTTATAATTCATGCTTTCATCAGTTTTTTTTTAAACTCTTAGTAGTCTTAGAATAATAGTAAAGATTCTAGAGCAAGGGCACATTCATTGCCTTTATTCTTTGTAAATATGCTAGCAATCATGTCACAAATGAGAACACATAAAGTTGTGTTGCTTTGCATTTATGCATATAAACTGTATTATTCATTACTTGAATCAGGTACTTCACAGAGTAGAAAAATAGTTTCTTTTATATGCTAGTTTAAGAATGTTACTGTGGAGAATGAGCTGAAACAGCATTTTTTTCCCCCTGTAATGATTGGTTTTAATATGGTTGTGTCTTATAAAGTTAATTAAAATTTGCTAATTTGAGATAATTGTATCAGGTATGATGTAGGAAAAGATAAATTCATTGACCTCATGGAACTAAAGTTGATGATGGAGAAATTGGGGGTTCCACAGACTCATGTCTCACTTAAACAGATGATCAAGGAAGTTGACGAAGACTTAGATGACAAAATATGCTTCAGGGAGGTATGTATTATTAAATTTAAATATGTATATAGGCTACTACACTTTTTTTACATGTATATTTACATCAGTAAAAGATATTTTTTTTTAAATGATGTTCTAACAAATACATTTAATTTTAACTGACTCATAGTGTGTTGGGCTAGATAATTGACAATGCTTTCAATACATCCCTACTCAAAATGATTGTATACACATTTCTGAGACATAAACACTGGGATGTGACTTTTTTATTAGATCACCACTGTATAAAACTTACTGGTGAATATGATTATTTTTCTATTTATAATAGTTTCTGTTTCATTTCAGTTCCTGCTTATATTTAGAAAAGCAGCTGCTGGGGAACTGGATGAAAACAGTGGCTTGTACGATCTGTACAAAAACATGGAAGAGATTGATGTTGATGCAGAAGGAGTTAAAGGTGCTAAAAACTTCTTCCAGGCCAAGGTAGTATTTTTTTTATAGGAATTTGTCTAATGGAATTAAATTCTACAGCTGATTCAATGTACAGAAAAAATGTGACCATGAAAAAAATACAGCTATGATTGGTTTTATATCATATTTTTAAAAATTTCTTCGTTTTTAAAATGTTGGATGAGATTTTATCCAACACAATTAATACTTACGTCTCAACATGTTTAGCGGCATATGGTCTGTTGACTCCAATTTCAGCTTGCTTTTTTCTTTTGGGGTGTCCTCTCCTAAATGGATTGCTGGCTCCAGCTTATGAGTCTCATCTGCCAGGGATTAATTTTTATGTTTTAAGTTACAATTACATCATATTTATATATTAAAAATTTTGAATTATGTTTCACAATTTAAGAATATACAATTTTTATTTGTGTGCTTGAACGTCTAGATCCAGAAACAAACAGAGAGCTGTAAATTTGAACAGGAAATTCGTCAAGAGCAGGAAGAGAAAAAGAAACAAGCAGAGGAGGCTAAGGAAAGAAAAAAAGCATTTAAAGAAAAAGCAAGCGTCTTCACCAGTGCTGGAAATTAAGTCTCCCTTAATCATCTAGGATTGTATCAGTACCAGGGTTCCAAATACTGCAGGTTTAATTTTTACGGAACATTAGTTATTGCTCTTCATACCTTTATATGTGGAACATTTTTATTTTTAAGTTAGTAATTCAAGGCATAATTAACCTATTTTAAAGATTTTACATCATAAATCTCTATTATTTTTTTCAAAACCTGCATAAATAAATTATAAACCTATACTCCAGTCAATGAGGCTACAGTTGCAGTCATTAATTATTGTGGTTAAGCTCAAGCATTTCCTTTGTATTTCTCTACACAACGTCTAGTTTGTTAAAAGATTTTATTTCAACAGTATTACTTCAAAATCAGTCTTTTGAGCTATTTTCTTGAAACTTACTTCCCTTTTTTTTCCACATCCCTATTGATATTCATGTTTCACTTGCTGTTAATTATTTCTTTAAATGATGAGAGATTTTTCTGAAATATAGCTTGAGTCAATTATTTGTTTAACTAACACAACTGATTTTAGTGCCATGCTGTATTTGTTGCCATAACCTTTACATAACCCCACTTGATTAATGGTTACTATTGATGTTCAACTTACATTCATTATGATGAATTCAAGTTAAGACCTGTTTTTTCCATAGTTCTGTGATTATAATTAAAAGCTCAGATATTAATAGATAAGAGTTGAGTAGAAAATAATCCTTCTGGTGCTTACTATTTAATGCATGTGATTACATTTAATTTCCATTTCTGTGATTTTGTTTGCTCTTTCTGACCTGCTTGGCTTTTTTTTGTATCATAGATCTTTCTAAATGATGATTTACTATGTTTGATCTGTTTAACTTATACTTTAAGGACAGTTATAATCCAATCTGAACCAGAGATCTGGAGTGTTGTATATTTTTGTTGCATTAGCAGAGATTAATATGTTGTATGTGCTCCCTATAGATGATGTTTCATCATGTTTGTTGTGTGTTGGTTTTATAATTATTTACAAGATTTCATAATATTCCAAGTTGTTAATAATCTATATTGTAATAATTTAATTTAATAATCACTTTATATTTACACATTACTGGGATAAAGATATTCATGACACAGTGTTACAAAATCAGTTTACTTTTTAATTGCTTGGAAACTATAATCAAAATTATGTGGTTTTTTTATGTGTGTTATTGTTTAAATTAACTTTTCTAATAATTGCTTGGAATGCTATAATCAGAATTAGTTAATAATTCGTAAGTGGTTGTTTAAATAAGTTTTGCTGACAGAATGCTAGTTTCAGAATGCCTTTTAGCTGGTGTATTTCTTCTCATATCCATGCTCTGGTGTTTATAATGTCTGCGTCATTGGGCTTCCAAAAAAAGATAATACAATACTGTGCAATACTGTTGTTAGTTCCTAAAGATATCATTTGTTAAAAAATGTGTTTTTAAAAAGAAAGCCTACGAAATTTGATCAACTACATTGTCAGTTTTTTTTAAAATTATTACTTTACTTTATTAATTTTTGTTTCATTTAATTAGAATTAATACTTAAACTGTCATATTCTTGCCTATTAAAGATTTTCTCTATACTTACCTCTGACAATTAATTAAGCTGTTTTTCATAGTGTATGTTTTAAATTTGCATTTGTATGTGCATTTTATGTCTACTAAGAATATTGTTGTACCTCTGCATGCCTGAACATTGTTGAGTTGACAAAACTATATATGTTATGGCTTCCAAATATATTATAAGTCTGTTATCTTACTGATAAATTAAGTTATGGTTTGCAAAAAAAACTGGAGAAATATTTCAGAAATAAAATCAAAAGTTTATTGTCATTGTGTTTTTTTTTTTATTGAATGCTTTTTAAAAATAATTTATCAGTTTTTTTTTTAAATTTTTCCAAAATCAAATTTTACATTTGCATCAATTTAAGTTTTGTTGATTTTTTTTTCACGTCTTATGTGCTGCTATGCAATGAAAATAAGTGTTTGTTTGGCAAAATAATTGGTGTAGAATCAAATATGTCTGTATAACTTATGTGCATATTTTGAAACTGCTTTGCATGCTATTTTTTAAAGCCAGTGTTTTTCAACCCCTTTTATTGTGTGGCATATTTAACAATTATACGAATTCAGTGGTCCTTTTAAATTTCATGGTTTAATATATTAACACAATCAGTACAGTTTTCCTGTTTAAAAAGTTATCAGGGTTTTCTTGTTTTATTTGTACTTTTGTTATGCAAGAGTTATAAAAAAGGTACAACTGTTAAATAATAATCATATCAGAGTGCATTGTCTTAAAATTGATAGTTTTGATACATTTTCATTCTTTGTTAGTCAAAATATTATCTTATTAATACAACCATTTCTCAGCTTCATTTGTCAAAAGTTTATATTTTTTTAAAAACAATATTTGTTGGACGAAAATTATCTACAGCTTTTTGGATTACAAGATAAAAACCTTATGATAGCTATGAGGAGTTACTGTAAGCAATAATATTTTTTCTTGCTCAATTGTTTAATTCTATGTTTCACACCCTTTGATCACAGTATTGTCTTTTGATTTTGTTCAAAAATAAAATCCATATATTTATAAATATTTTTTAGACTAGCATTTATCGAATTGAATTCATTTGTGTAGATTAGTGACTGCTAAACATGGTCTAGCATAGCTGTTTTAACAATAAAGAATATCTGATGGGAAAAGTATATTTAAACAGAAATACGTAGCATGTAAAAATAAACAAACTTCATCTCAAGGCATTTTTCTCTCAATAATTTATTATGCTTTCTGATGGTGTATCTGCTTAAATCCTTTATATGTTTATTTATTCTTGTATGATAACAGTTCTCCATTTTATAGAAATGATATTAAAGTCTGTATGAATTTACATAGTGTCCCTTGTATTTTTATGTACATTGTATTCTCAGGCTTGGAACTTTGTATGCAAAATAAACTTCTATGCAGTATATTTTACAATGCAGAATTATAGGTCAATAAATTTGAGCATTGATCATTAGTTTTGTGTGGTTTATTCAAATATCTATGATGTTGATAAAATAGTAGTTTATTCATAATGTTTATATTTAAAAAATCTATTTGTAATTTTTTCTTTGTCAAATATTAATTAGAAGTGTTATATATACAGGCTTCTCTCTATATATGCCCTTATAATTTTCTTCCTCCGTAAATTTTGCAGTTGGTGTCATCTCCATCCCCCCCCCCCCCACCTGGTGTGATACCTGTAATCTGTACACACTAGATAGCAAGGATGTTCATTTATTAATACAGCTAGGTTTAGCATAGTTTTCTCAATTTCTCTATAGTAAGCAAGTTTTACGTCATGTCATATAATTTATGAAGAGGAAAAAGAATTAGTCAACTACGGTGCCACAGCGAACCTTCCCTTCTCCCCCCCCCCCCCTTTCTGAATGATTGATTTACGAAAGGTTGAAAAAGTTAGTTCCCCTGTGCTAAACGCTCTTCCCAACAAAAAATTAATATTATACATTTCCGTTGTTTTCCGGAAATAATAGTGTAAACATGGAAGTAGGTGGATATTAATTATAAATGAATAGTGACTAATGCAGTTATAAGTTATGTCTACTATAATCAGGAGTTTAACGTTCTTAGCATTTTTTACTTATTTAATTTTAAGTTAGTATCGATAGAAATAGAATACATATTCAAAATGAAATATGCTGTGGATTTTAAAGAGTGTCTCAAAGATTCTCCAAAGTTCAGGTGAGATTTTTTTTTTGTAGGCTCCTCGACAACGCGACTCGAGTCTAGAGTAGAGATCTAATCTTAGATCTGCTCAGTGTTTACTTGTGAGTTGAGTAAGTGCACTGTGACACATCGTTACATGAATGGGGGGGGGGGGAATGGTCGACTTTTGCAATAAGGGATGCAGCTCTGTTCAATTTAATTAAAAGTTCAAATAAAAGTAGAATCGGTAATCTATCGTTTTGGGTACGTAAAATCGCCCGCGACTAGTAATGTGAAAAACAGGTGACTCCTTACATTTTAATAATTATTTCACATTTTGAGGAGGATTTATGTTTTGAAAAATACAAAAATGTTTCCTTGTTTCATTTATGTACCTGTTTTTAAACAATTGAATTAAAACTTTTCAGTAATAAATGAACACCAGCGATGTTTCCAACAGATGCAACCATGCTCATTTACTATAGCAGCCATTTTGTCTAAGTTTTATTTTTATAAGCTTTTAGCGCCAGATTCAGGGGGAAGCCACTCTATTTTACAAATGGCTGCTGTTTATATAGCAAATCTTGCTTGCAGACACTGCTGTTTAAAGTTAATTTCTGGCCTATATTAATATATTTAGCCATTGATTTAGGTTTATTATTCATTTATCTATAATATTTTACACAAACATATCACAATATACTTCTATTACAGCCTTGACAATGAGGTAACGTTTACGTACATTAATAGCCGCGGGCGATTTTACGTACCCAAAACGATAGATTACCGTAGAATCTATTCTATGCGGGTGTTGGGAGATTGCGAAAAGCGAAATGGCGAGGCGGGAAAATGCGAGAAGATAATGCGAGACATACCTGCCGAATTATGGGTAAATAGTAGTATTTCTCTCTAACTTGGATGCGTGGTCGGTTGCTAACAACAATATGGCGCCCGGACCGGACGTCTGATTTCCGGTGATTTTTCGGCCAAATTCCAGAGACCTTCAACTAATTACATTTAAAAATGTTTACCACGCGCAAAATGGTGGGATTTCCGTGTCATAACAACAAACCATAAGTGGCAGGGTTAGATATGCCAGAAAAGCATTTTAAAATTTGGTTTGGAGAACGGAGGCTAAATTCAAAAGTTGGTTTCATTAAAATTAATAGAATTTAAAAAATATCAACAGTGTAGGTACAGAAATGAGCGAGAACGTAAAGCATTATTAGTTTTATCAGTCTATGAAAAAAGAAATCAAATATTGTGAGCTGTTTTTTTATAAGACCGGCGTCCGTATCACAACCAATTTATTTTTATTTTTTAAAAACCACGTGACCGCTATTTGGTGATCACTAGTGAGGAACTCTTGTGCATGGAGTCTAACCTGATTTGTGGTTTTCTTTAGCTTCACGCTTAAGAAGAGTTGTCATGGAGAGATGTGTTGGACATGGTAGTGATTGACAATAAATATTAAATTAACTAATTTAGTTCAAAACTAACTAAAAACTCCAAAGTTAGTGCCTAATGGATTAAATATGGATGTCTATTATTCAGTGGTCATGTTTAAATTGATAATTGCGTAAATTCTAGATTTAGTGAGAAAAACTAGTAAATAGCGAGACACTTTTTGCGAAAAAAAAGTTTTTTTCATGCTTTTTTTATCTTTATTTATTTAAATTATATTTTGTTTGTTTTAAAATAAACAAAGCATTTAGCCATACCCTTTAACATGAGTGTTGTATGTTGTTATTTTTTATCTAGATTTTATTATATAGATAGATAGATACTAAGAAGATTGATGGAACTATATCTAGAGATCTATCTATTTAAAAATCCGAAAACATCGTTGCTGTGCTACTGCCATCGCCTGCTCTCATTAGCGAGAGGAAAATCCCGTCTCAGTCAGCATTAATTTTAAAAATCTAGCCCGCTCATGTTTATACAAACGTGAGCTGTGTCATTGTGAATTGGTTTAATCTTGTCAGCAGGAGAGATATTCTAAAACATGTATTTATGGATTTTTGTACTTGCTAAAAGTGTAAAAGTATATAAACAATTCTAAAAAGTGCAATTTATTTTTTTTATTGAGTAATTTTAATTACAAACAAAATTTACAAACAAAATCTTTTGAAACAGTCCTAGCACTACTCAAACACACCTCGTGACACCATCTTTCACACATAGTACATCCAACCCAGTTCAAGGGGGGGGGGGGGATGCAAATTGAAAGTTAGAGTGGGGCGGGTGCAAATCGAAAGTTTGAGAGGGGGGTGCAAAAATCGAAAATTTGTCCCCGGGAAGGGTCGCTACACCTCTGGGGGTGGGGGGGAAACACCATTAAGTGCTGCAGAGGGTGATATCCGACCTCGCTACGCCAATGATCTGAATAAAGTCCGCTATCGAAGCTTTTTTGACGATTCCCCCCCCCCCCCCTTCCCATCCGTTACACAATTTCACAAAAATCCAAAGCTCCTCCCCCCACTAAAATGACGTCACACCTCAGCCTACAACCCCCTTCAAACTTGCAGTTGAATTTTTTTTTAAAACATCGATATTTTCCCAAAATCTTGTCTAATTTCTGTCCAAATAGATTATTTTAATCAATTCCTATTACAATTTATTAAAACAGTTTTCTAAAATGCGAAATATCGTCTAAAATTCTTTTTCTAACATTGCTTTTTTATAGTGTGACGTCACAATATCTAAACCCCCCCCCCCCCCCCCCCCCCCTCCTCCTTATAACACATTTCAATGCAACAAAACAAAATATGTTTGCGGCGGCAGCGGATTCAGGCTCTGTGATCTTCAAAGACGGTAAATCCGCGGCCTCGGCGTTCGACACAAAAGAAAGAAGTTGATCTATCGGCGGCGATATTTCCATCGGTTTCGAACAAGATGGTATTCTAAGTCGACACAAATGATGGGGGTAGTTGACAAATCATCAGTATGTCTAGCGACGGAAAAATCTGAAGTTTTAACAATGTAAACGAAACGTCTTTGAAGTCTGGACCAAATACCACTAAAAATCGGGTGCGGTAAATTTTGCGAGACAAAAAGTCACGTGACTGACCGTTTTCGCGCCCTTCTCGCATTTTCCTGCCTCGCCATTTCGCTTTTCGCATCTCGCAATTTCCCCACACCCATTCTATGCCACTGCTGCACACTTTTCCCTGTGGTTTTTCAGTTTTGCATAAAATTTAAAATTTAGGCCTAGATCTAGGTTTAAATAAATTATTAAATTAACTGAAAAGTAGGCCCTAAGTCGTAGCTACTCCCTAATGTAACCTATTCTATTGCAAAGTAGGGCCTGTCCTATATACAACTTGGGCATAGATATTCTTACCACTGAATAATAGACATTCTTTTTTAAATCCATTAGTCACTAATTTTGAGGATTTTAGCTTGTTTTAGACTAAATTGCTCAATTTAAAATTATTTTCACACACAGCCGTGGCACGGCACGACACACCTTTCCACTACAACCATATTATATCACCCTTGTGTTTGAAGCCACAGCATGCCACAAATTTGGGTTTGACTTTTTAATTGGCTATGCACAAAAGTTCCTTGCTAGTTATCATCAAATAGTGGTCGCTTGGTTTTTAAGAAAAACAATTAGGTCGTCATTTTCTTGGCTGGTCTTATAAAAAAGTGACTTGCAATAGGCCCTATTTGATTTATTTTTTCATAGACTGATAAAACTAATAATGCAACAATATTTTATTCATTTTTGTACTCTTCTTCCTTATATTTTTTAAAGTTCTACTAGGCCTATCACTATCTTTAAATTTAAACCAACATTTAAATTTAGCCTTCATTCTCCAAAGCAAATTTTGAAATGCTTTTCTGGCATGAAATTATTCCTCATACCAACTTAAACTTAAACTTAGGGACTGAAATAATAAATAATTCATTTTAAAAAGTCTGAGTAACTCATTTCATGACCACGAAAACTGAGAAAAAGTTCCGTCTAAATTCCCATACCAGTCACTAGTAAATCCATATCACTTACAGAAGCTTGATGTTTTTTATGATTTGCTGTGTTTATCACAATTAGTTTTTACATTTACTTGAATTAGCCTACTATGTGTTATTTAAATTATGCAAAGTCGAAGGACTAAATGATTATAAAATTGCTTAGTACCAAAATATATATGAATCAGTAATCTGTCTTCTATAAAAAATATAATTTTACCAATTATTACAGTGAGAAACAAAGCAAATTTTGGCAAATAATTTAAATGAATGTAAAAAAATATCATACTTAATATGTTAGTAGTTACCTATATTATTACAGTTATAGCAGCACTTGGATTGTCAGCCATCATGCTCAAAATAGAGCTGGCTGTTTTTAAAGAGAAAAAAGAACATTAAAAACAGTGTTTCTTACTTTAAGACTGATTTAGCAAATAGAATGTCAGATAATGTGTTTATTTACAGACTAGCATTCATATTGTCATGAGATTTAGCTAAATGAGCAGTGTTTTCATTTGTCGTAGATAAGAACCTAAAAAGATTTTTCTCGTAACTGGCGTACAGATTGATAAATGCACTCAATGTTGACCAAGCTCAATAAACACTTTAGACAGAAATAGCTTTTTTAAAAAATATATTGTAAATTTGTGGGGGTTGGTAGGCTGAAATGTGATGTTGTTTTTTTTTTTTAGCGCAATTTCCATACGGACAATTGCGATTATTAATTCGTTATTTCTGGATGGATGGATGTGTGTCAGCAGTGTGTCCGCAGCTTTAAGTCGTATCTCCTCCTCAACGAAGCAATATCGAGGACTAGTTCCAAAAGCAAATATGTTAAGCAAGTTCCGAGGATGATTGTGGACCAAAAAAATTCCCGGAATTCCTTCCTGGATTTCCCAGAAAAGCCAAAAAATCTCGAAAAAAATGCAGTTTTTGGCCCATATCTCGGCAACCAGACCAATTAGGGACTTGAAACATTTACCAATCGATTCCTGCCATAATTAAAAACAATATTGCTGCAGAAAGTTTTCAAAAATATCCTTTCGTTCGGTCACAAAAAATTAATTAAGGAAATTGCGCTTAAATTGTCACTAGACTTTTTATTAACTTGTTTTTCTTATTTACAGCTGTTGCTGTTTGGATCAGGTATTGCCCAATAGGTTGGGTTAATAATACTATAAAAATCTCATTTGAAGAATTAAAGTCTTGCTAGTTTCACACAGGGCTTTCCTTGCTTAAAAAAACTCTACAATTTCTTCCTCGACTGTTCAATCAAGGGGAAAATTTGGGTTCAAAAAGCAGGTTTAGTCTGGCAAATGTTGTCACACCAGAAAGTGACAGACAAGAATGTATCAAGGAAGAATGAGGGAGCATGATATGTCAGCACCTTTTGCTGTTTTTGAGATCTAAGATGTGTTCCGATAGAAAATCCAGTAAAAAGCGTACTCAGAATATAATTTTGTGCTATGTTTGTGTGTGAAAATTTAAAAAAAAAATGATTGTGATAATGATTGCCATGTTATTAGTTAATACATTGTATAGTTTGTTCCTGTTTTGTAAATTTTTCATTTTTTGACAAAAAATGTCCTACATTCCTGACGGTACTTATAAGTACCAATATATGTTTGGGCCCTTAAAAATTTATGAAACGACATTTCATTCGACATTTGCTTTAAGTGTGCCTAAAGCAATATGATAACACAGTGTTAAAGAAGAAATTTCATTCAGAACCTAATTCCGTAAATAAAGGGCTAAATGGAAGGAAAAGAAGCATACAAATATTTGAATATACTTTTATGCTCAGTCTGTTAGAAACAATTTCCAAACAATAATACTTAATAAAATGTTTTTTAAGGTAAATAGTTATTTATTAATTAAGTAATTAAGGTGGTAAGTTTTCAAATGTGTATCAATTGAATTCATAGAAAGACAGTTCAAATTATCAACAAAGAATGGCTAGTCAAAATGTTTATAAGATACTAAAGTTTAGTTCTAGTCATTAATGTCACTAAGAGGTAATTAATATTTTACATTTATTCTTTAGGGCATCACTCGAAGAAGCAGAAGATGATATTGAAGCCCTGGAAATAAGACTTGATAGGGTAAGTGTTTAAAAATGAGATTTTGATATGAGCTAAAACATTTTAAATAATTGAAAATTCTATTATATTTTATTTAAATCAGTGGTCTTAACGTTTTTGGAGGCACTAAACCCCAACAGTTTTATGTTCGTATTTGCCGAACCCTTATTAATAGTTCTATTGTCTGCATTAACAAAATCCGATCATGAATCATAAGAACTCCTGAGACTGACTCACTGAACCCTTGGAGTTTGATCAAACCACTTATTTAAAAGAAAAATGTATTAAACATTTAAAGTTCTCCACTAAACATGAATGCTTTCATGTTAGAGACACAGTACTAATTTTACATTATCCGGAGTTTAATTTTAGTATATATGTCACTTTGACTTAACTGGGGTAAGCTTTCTTGTAATGATTTCTACAAAGCCCACCTAACCCTTGCTTAATTGATGACTAAATAATCCTAAACATTAATGTCACTTACTTCGTTGTGCCTTAAGTAAATTAAAAAAAGAAATGCAAAGTTTTAGTTAGAAGTTATTTTATTTTGTTTCCACAGCTAGTGAAACAATGTACTTTAATGATTGATGCCGGCAAGGCCTTCAGTAATGCTAGCAGGTATTTGCTTATTTTCTTGTTTTATATACACTGTAATTTTTGTAATTAGAAATAATTTTCTTCAAATAAAATTTATTTATTATAAATAAAGTTAGAGTGAGCCTTCATGTTAACTCATTCTGTACCAGGGGGTTTTCCACCTCCTGACCTTATTGGTTCGTGACCCAATTTTTTTTACACAGCCCTCACCTACTTAAATAATTATAGCTCCTCTGTTTTTCTAACCAGAATTATGTATTATACATCAAAATAAACAGAAATGAATTTTCTATAGTAATAAATGAAGATAATTGAGGGTTATGTTAAAGAAAGTAGTTTTTTTACATGTTAAAATGAGGTGTTAGTGTAACAACACATAAAAAATAAAAAAATATTTCCTACTTACATAATCACAAGTCACCAACCACTTACCCAAACTTTATGAAACTTACACATTTTGTTGGTTATCCATATATACACAACATATCCAAATATGAAAGAAAACACTTGTACAATAAAAAAGTTATGCACAAAAAACTAAAAAGATTGAAAAGCTGAAAACAGGACATCTTTTTTTACAACTAGCATACTAAGATTTATAGTTACTCTTAGTATGCCAAATTCTAAAGCAGGGCTCCTTACATAAAAATGGTTGACCAGGACAATCTGCACATACATTGCTGGTTCTTTTGCGAGCACCTGGTTTACTACAGACCTGACAATTACGGTCTTTTTTAGCCGACATAGGGATATGTATTTTAGCGGCTAGCCGAATGGTTGGATTGTCAGTAACCAAATTCACACTTGGCTGTGGTTGCTGGGCTAGGGCAATATCCACAGGTTTCTCAACAAGTGATCTACCAGCTTCAGCTATAAGTTGAACAATCAAGTTGGACTTGAACTGAGCTAGACTGATCTTCGCTTGCTCGGGGTGAGACTCACGAAATAAAATCGCAGCGTTGACATGGCAGATTTCCAACAGCCAGTGGAATATTTTTTTCCACCACTTGTGGCTTTTTCTTTTGTGGCAGCCATAGTAGCCAACTAGCTGATCTGCTCTATCACAACCATTCATATTTTGATTATATAAATTTATGGCTGTTGGTTTTTCGACGTCACAACGTTTGGTTTTGATTAGTGTTTTGCTAACACTTCCTTGACTGGTCACAACTGACACAAACCTTTTAGACTTTTTATCCCTAAATGCCACTGTAAGGTACTTTTCTTCATGCATGTACCACCCTCTCTCCTACCATATGGCTCAAGACAAGAGACTTGAGTGCAGGAGGGAAATTTTTCCGTCTTATGTCGACCGTGCCAGTATAATAATGACTCTGACGGCTGAGAAACTCAAGCAGAGGTACAGAGGTGTAAAACCTATCTGCAAAAATATGGTGGCCTTTTGTTAGTGGTGTCAACAATTTTTGAAAAACCTTTTCAGCCATGGTGCAATTTTTGTCTAGGTCTGGATGATAAGTAGTCTCAGAACCGTAGTACGTAAATAAATTTACGACATACCCCGTCTTACTGTCGCACAAGCCAAATGTTTTTATATGATATTTAGAAGGCTTTGTGGCATTGAACTGTTTGTTCTTCCACCTTCCCTTATACCCAATGACCATTTCATCGACAGATAAATTAAGACCGGGGTAAAATGCATCTTGGAATGATGCCATCAATGTATTGAGAAAGGCCTCTGCCTTGTCACCAGCCGCATGTAAAAATGTGTGGTAAAGGGCCTGAAATCTGTTTCTGGCCATGGTTTGTCCATACCAATGTGTAAAAAGGTGGGCTTCTTTTACAGACCAGTAGCTTTTTATTGAAGGCCTAGGGTTGAGGCCCATAGCTATCAAAATAGCAAAAAATTTCAACAACTCTGGTCTCGTTACTGGTTGAAATTTGTAGTACACTGAATGTCTGAGCTGAGGAAACACTAATTTTCCCCTAGCATACTCATTGATATTAGCTAATAATAGCTCAATAATCTGGTCATTCAATAAAGTGAGCAGGCAATCTAGCTCCGTTGACTCGGGTGTTATTTTATCCGAGTTTACGCCATGGGATTCGTGGCGAACAAAACGAAAGTTGTTTTGCGTTGTACCTTCATGTACTTCTGCCCAAATAAAATTAGTACTACTAGTGGTAGTAGCAGTACCACTGACAGTTACAGGCTCATCCTGTCCTGTTACAAAAGTATTAGTACTAGCAGTATTAGTACCAGCTTTCCTTTTTTTAGCCATGGGTCCCTTACCCTTCCCTGCATAAGGTTTGCCACACCCACTTTGGTTGTTATCACAATCACTATCAGTATCACCACTACTACCAGATCTATCACTCTCACTGCTTGATGAATAATTATTATCTTCATCAGATGATAAAACCGATGTTTCTTCATCTGAATCTAAATTATTCATCCACTCATCAAGCATAACGCGTGCTTTTTCAGCACAAAATCGCTTGAGTGGGCGTTGGCCTGAGGGACCTGATTCCATAATGAATTTTAAAACGTAAACGCGAACTTTAAACTTGAATAAAACACACGTGAAACACTCCCAGTGCAAAATTTTTGAACCGAAAGAAAGATCCGGATGTCGTGTATTTAAAAACATGGATTTGAATAAGTTAGTTTAAATATTGGACTGAATTTTCGCATGAAACAAACACTAGGGTTGCCAAGCCGGAGACTCAGGCTCGCGGGCCTACGGTGAAGCTGGCGCGAGCCGGAATCTCCGGCTCATGGGACGGATTGTGTTAAAATAACAACTTTGTATTGTGTATATAACCCCAATTTGAAAATTTGAGTGCATCAGAAGATGTATTTGGATGATAATTATTGTTTATTAATTAACAATTGGAATTTGTTACAGTGGTTTCGTGGTTGGTGTAAGAGACCTGGCCAATTACTTTAACGATGACTCTCTTGTTTCTGTAAGTTGTTTACATTCTTAAAATCTTCATCCAAGCTTAACTTCTAACAACTCTTTTCTTTACAAAGTTATGCTATGTTGGCGTGGGAAGGGGGGGGGGGGGGTACACAGCATTTCACATAAAAAGAGGGAAGCTAAATTATTCTAGACCCTACTCTTCTTTAAGGCTTTAGATCCTAGTTTGGTGAATTTAAATATCGTAGAGTCTTTAAAAATCATACACACTGTAAGGTTGTTGACAAGACATGATAAACTTGAGTTTCCCCGTACAATCTGAGTTATAAAGACATGGGTAATACAATAGTTAACAAAAAATGTTAGTCTCTAACTATGATGCATGCATATTTCACAGTAAAACCACATCACTTGAGTATATAAGTACTGCCAACTCAGTAATAATGTGTAACCTACTGATATGTATCTGCTTTTTACAAGTATCAATATTTACATGCTTTGATTGTTTAACCCCTGCTTACATGAATTTATTAATGAGAAAATGTTATCACATGACTATATGTCATGTGACCACCTTGCTTTAGTGTTAAGGTTTTTTTTATTTCCTTTTTTAAATTAAATAAATGCTTCCCAGTGCAGTCATTAATTTACATTTTTTTAATACTATCATTATGACACATCTTTTATCACAGTTCTTTATAGTATAATTTAATTGACAACAATATAGATACATATTGTAATAATCTTTTAAGCAACCTAAACCTTGTATGAGTTTAAAAATCTATTACTAAAAATGAAATTTTTTTCCCGCTGTAATATAATAATCATGAGTTGCTAGTAAAGGTCTTATAAACAGTGTCAGAGTGATACAGGCTATTACAGGAATAAAAGAGAAAACTGAATGCTTAGATGAAAAGTTTAGTTGTACTTAAAGTACCTTTTTTTTTTTATTATTGATTTTGTGTTGAACAATCACAACAGGACAATGCTAAAGTATCTGTGAGTATTAGAACATTTTTGCTTGAAAAAAAAACATTCATTTTTTACAATGCATCTTTTCAAACCCCAATTTTTCCTTTCAATTTTAGTGTGTGGATCTTGCTGAGTCATAGTTATTTTTAGAATGGCATTCTCTGCATTATGGCAACAATGAGGACACGCCCATCACATTGTTTCTTCACCTCCCCCTTCTCTCCTCCCCCCCCCTCACAACCACAACAGTGCTTAACTTTAACAATAAACAGCTGCCTGTTCTGATTCTCTCCCTGTAACATAAATAATTGAGGGGATTGGCTCTGGTAGTAACATAGTTTTTTTTAACATAGCCAGTAGTTTTAAAATGTATGAAATACCCACAAAGCTAAACCCTCTATGCATAGGCTATAGGGTTCTAGTAAATTAACATGTATGGGTTGATTTTTTTTTTACTAAACTATTTCAACAATCCCAAGAAAAACTTAGTTTCCACTACAACAACTCAATGCAACAATTGCATTTTATAAACATGTTCTTGTAAATGTTGCAGGTGTTTTTTTTTTTGTTGTTGAGTTGTTGTGTTCCGGTTATATCCATTCTTTCTTATTAGAAACTGATTTTAATGAGCATGTGAACTTTGAACTCATGCCTGATTACATTTTTAACAAGCATGTGTTTTGACTATGTGAGTTTAAAAGAAAACAGATTTTGTATTGATTGAACATGCATGAAACAAAATGGTTTCAAAATACGTGTGAAATAGACAACTAATTATAATGAATAATGCTTAATTAGATTATCAAACAAGACAGTAATGGATGGTTAATTGTCTTTCACAACGAGCCTGATTAAAAAATCAATATACACTTCTGTTTATGCAAAGTAATTACCTTCATCCTCATTTAAGCAATTAGTAAGAGGAGCCTTACTGCTTGTTATCTTAGAGACTGTTGTTATTATCTTAGCAATCACTGGTACTAAACTCCCTCACTTGCCCTCCATACCAGTACTACCTGCCCATGAAGTAATCATAACTTAAAACTAGTACTAAACCTTTTTAATAACAAACTTTAAAATGCACTATTTTAGTGTATTTAAAAGCTAGTTAATGTGAAGGTTTTTTTATAGCCTACTACTTGTTTTATTTTCTACTTTTTAGTAAATAGAAATTGTTAAGATATCAAAAGTAAGTTAGTACCCCTCTTGACTAAAAAAAATTGTGTATATCTTATTTAATTAAGGTTGCTAATGTTCACTTACTCTACATGAGTTGTTCTATTATATGCCCCCTAGCTATGTCTCATGTAAAAAGAGGATATGTAAACATTAGTTGAGAACCAGCACATCTAATTTTAGTGATTATTTATTCCTAGTTAATAAATAATCTCCCCTGCTACTGTTAGATTAAGTTATCTTTAAATACATTTGGTTGGAAACTAGTTGTTCTTGCATTAGTACCAGAAATGTACAAGATTTAAATAAATAGGTCGGAATCTAGCTGCAAGATTCTACAACCTTACCCACCCAGATACAGGCACTAGAAGATTGCAATCTAATAAAAAAACTTGTAATTACAAGCTTGTAATAAACTGTATTGTTGTGTGGACTTTCTCTTATATGAGGGATGTATCGAAAGTCTTCTTCTATTAAAAATATTACAATTATTGGACTTTCCCTTCTATTCATTTGTTTAAAAAATTAAAGTTGGGACATTTATAATATCTTTTATTATACTAAACATTTTAATAAAATTGTATTGGAGGTTGTTTTTTTTTTCATTTTTGTCAGTTACCCATTGGTCTGTATAGCAACTATTTTAATTATTGGAGGCTGAACAATTTTATTTTAATTACTCTATTTCATTATCGTCCTTTGATCCCACTTACATTTCTGCAGCAAAACTTAAAATGGGGTTAGATGAACCATACATAATAATTTCAACAAAAATTTATTAATGTCAAACAACATCTTAGTTAGCAATGTGTATCCTTTCCATAAAATTAACGATGGATAAATGTGGTTTTGTTACCACATGTGTAGCTTCTAGTTTCAATTATGTCACACCACAGTTTCAGTATATCCTCCCAATGTTTGCCTCACCCAGCCCTCTACTGCTAGGTATAAAATAAGAACTCTAGCTGTTCTTATAGTAAGATAACTATAGCACTAGTGAATTCATTATAGCAGACTGGTTAGATTTATATTAAAATAGATATGTTTTTAGAGGTGTGTGTGAGAAAAGTTTCAACTAAAAAAAATCAATTGATTTAGCTTATGTTTGTAAGGTTTAGAGTTAAATATTTAGGCTTCTTTAATAAAATTACTGTTCTTGTTAAACTTAGCATTGACATGTTCAACTTTCCTTAAAGTTTCTGACTAAAACAGTTGTACAACCATACAATTAATAGGCATAATATTTAAATGTTGGTCAAATTTTTTCATGGCTTGATGTTGCATAGGCTATGTAGATAAGCTTTAAATGTTGACAGTAAACAATTTTTTTTTGTCTTACTACTTAATATAAAGTGCACAATAAAAGCAATGTTATGTGATTGATATTTGTTGTACATTTTGGTCTTTTTTATTTTTGTTTTGGTGTGTCTAAAATATCTGAGAATTTCTAAATGGAACTTTTTTTTTATAATAAGTGTTATTTAAAGTGTTTTCAATAATCTATTTATTGTAGAACATTAACACTTGTTTTGTTCAATTATGTCGATTAAAGTTTTAATGAAATAATTACAGTTTTGATACAGGAATTTGTTTTTAAAATGCTGGGTGAAAAAAAATGTAGTACTTAACTAAACAGCATCACTTTTTTTTCTTTAAAAAAATTTTTTTTAAAGACCAAAGACTAATGATTTTTTAAAAAAAAAAACCATAATAATTTTAAGACAATAGATTGGTGGTTTTTTTAACGAAAAACCATCAGTCTTTTGTCTTAAAATTATTATTTTGTCATTATGGTTTTTTTTTCTCTCTCTCTCTCTCTCTCTTTCCCCTCCCCTACCCTTTACTAACCATTAACCTGTCCTTGTTTTATATATGTATTTTTTTTTTTAGTTTGACTTGCATTTTTATAAAAAAAACGATACATTATTAGTAGTATGTATTGATCTATTTTGGGTCTTCAGCATTCTGTTTATTTAATGTTATATTACATCTTGGTGAATGTCTATTAATGGAAGTGATCATATAGTGTGTTACAATGTTAGTTGTTGTTTCATTACAGACAAGCCTCAGTCGATTCTCACATGCAATGGATGAAATGCTCAAATATTTTAATGTAAGTTTTTAAAATAATGATTCACAAATGTTTATACAAGTTTAAATTATGCTTTTTTAATGTATATGTTGAACCAATGTTTAATAAACTTTTACTTGAATAATTTCATAGATTTTAATGGACCAAGCACACAGATCTATAAGCAAAAATCTCAATAACTTCATTAGAATGTAAGTTTTTCAAATATTAATACCCAGGCTTAGCAAACCATAGTTAGTAGTGTTTTGTTTTTGAACATGAATTTAACTATATTATCATCTTATCCCGTTCATGCAAGAGACCCGCATGGCTGATTTAGTTGAGGTTATCTGTGTCAAAAACCTGGGTGTACTGGGGGATAGTGTGGTCTGCACTATGCCCAGCCAATTTAGTTTCCCTAACAAGTGTCAGGTACCTATCAGAGCTGAGTTGACTCATGGATATCCTATAGACTCAAGCCCAGGATCCAGACTCGAGACTGTTGGGTTAGCAGTCAAAAGCTTTACTATTCCACCATGCGCTCCCATAATTTACTGTATTGTAATACATCATGTTCATGGCCCTAATGGAGACAAGCGAGTTGACGAGATTCCTTCCATAGTGTTGTTGACATGGAATAAAAACGTGCTTTTTAGATTTAGACCGTAAAAAAAAATAAAAAATAAAAACTTAAGCCTAAAATTAATTTAGAAATTTTATATTTTTAGAATAAATGCTATAAAAGTTGCAAATCCAGAGAACTTGAAAATAATTTGTTGAGTTTAAGGCTACATTTCTATTTATTTTCATCAAGCCTAAGTTATAACCGGATGTTTCACTTTCGTAAGACAAATATTGATTGGCTGTACAGTAACTTAGTGATCGATAACTATTTGTTTACAAAACTTTGCAGATCAAAATTTTAAATAACAATGCAAATTTAAAACTCCATGACCTAGTTTTCTATTTTTAGCTTACAATGTGTACAATAAAATTTATGTCGGCCTATCCAATAGCAGGATGCCATTGTTTATGTCGCCATTACACGTGAAAACCAAATTGTTTTTGCTTTTTTTTTAAATTTTTATTTAGTTACCGAAAATCTTAAAAACATCAAATACGTCCAATTTTTAGTAAAGTCCGAAAAAAACCAGACAGACAGGATTTTATAACCATATTAATTGTAACTACGCCGTGCAAGATTTTTAAATTAATTTATGCACCTCTCAAATACCTTTGAGACTTTTCTCGCTTGTGTCCATTTAAATATGACTCTTTAGCTGGGAACATCAGGAGAGATAACTCCAAAATCAAACAAATGCTTCTGTAGTGGGAGTCAAAAGGCCTTTATGCCACAGCACATGTGTTCAAGCAATACCTAATTCTATTGGAAGAAAACAACAACCTGTTTGATTCCATCCAATTGTGCACTCAATAATGAAGAAAATATAATCAATTTTTTTTTTTAAATTAGTCAAAATTTTTCGATTTTATTGTGATGAGTTTAAATTGTAATAAAATATTTAGTCATGCAATTCTACTCCACCTGTCTCAGTAACAAAAACTGTCCATTTCAGTGACATCAAGAAGGTGAAAGAAACAAAAAAGCTGTTTGAAAAGATTAGTGATGATATGGACGCAGCCTATATCCGCAACTCTCAAGCAGCCAAGTCCAAGCCACAGGAATGTGAAGAGGCGCATAATACTTTAACGGCCATGAGGTCATGCTTTGCTCATACGTCTTTAGACTATGTCTTTCAGGTATTTATTTTTTATGCAATATGTTATATGTCATTTTAATAAACTCGCATTGTATTAGTTGAATTTCATGGTCATTGTAAATAAAATTTACAGATTAAATTTTTGCTTTCCAGAATTATTTAAAATAAAATTTTAATTTACTAATCTCTTTTCCTTTGTACCCTAATTTTGTGTACCCTACAATCATTGAAATCTTTGTCACTATTGTCTACGTAACCTTCCCAACATCATAGCATTGTAAATTTGTGTCTGTGATCTACTGGTTGTTTTACAGAGTTAATGTGGCTCCTTTAGTTGGGTGCAGCTTAAGAAACAGGATCCACCCATAATTTAACTAATTTTTAGATGGATCGGGGGTGGGGAGAAATATGAAGGGGGAGTATGGGATATTAAGGAAATGTAATTATTTCTAATTATAGTTAAACACGGTTGTTTTTCAAATACATTTTCTTAGAGTAAAGCAATAAAACTATGATCTTAGAGGCTGTTGTCAGTTTCTTATACATTTTTTACCACTTAAATTAACATGTTACAGATTTAATCAAAATGAGCTAGTGGTGTAAATTGACTAGAACTGTTTGCTGTTTGAGAGTTATGAACAATCTTTCTTCTTTTAACAATGTACTTCTTGTCTTTTTGTTTCTTTTTATTCCTATTTCGTACCTTTTTGAAAAACATTTTTTTTTTAAATTTGCTACTTTTAAACGTTGCATGCATGATCCTTAAAATAGCTAGACAGTAGTAAGTCCCATTTTATTAATGAGTCATATCAATATTTTAGAGCTCTCTCTGTAATCTAGTTTAGTTACCCAATAATGCAAGAGTAAATCAATTTAACTAGTAGCTGTATTGGTTTGTTTATATCTTTCACAGGTGAATGTACTCAACTCCAAAAAAAGATTTGATATTCTTGATACAGTAAGTTGTTTCTTTACCTCTTGTAAATGCTCATCATATTCTCTTTAAAACCATTATTGTCATGACATAATTTTGATTATGATGGGTTTTTTTTTTGTTAACCGTGGGTGGATGAGAACTAACATGAATGAATAAATATGATGTTGATATATGCTACATTTCTGATGAACAGTACTATATGAGACCTGTATTTCTCTGTAGTAAATAGTGGAATATTTATCTTCTTTTTAATGCAAATGTCTTTAAAGTACAACTATTTTGCTTTTAAAATATGTCTTGAGCACATATGATCAAGATATAACTTAGTCAGGATTTTGTAGTGGGTTAGTTCTAAGTTGTATTTTTCCATAGGGGGTGGGAGTCCATTGAGAGAGGGTTATGGCCCCCTCTACACCTCCCTGCGTTTGCCATTTTTAAGATATAATTTCTATCCATGCTTTTTTGTTTCAGATGTTGTCTTTCATGCACGCACAAAATGCATTTTTTCACCAAGGCCATGACCTGTTTCAAGATTTAGAAACAACTTATATGAAGGATATTGCTGGTCAGGTATGTTTTTGTATCTGTCCTTTAGTTGTTGATTTTTATAGCATTCAGGAAATTGATTCTTTCCAGTTGAGTTGATAGTTAGGGTATTCTTGACAGTTTAGTTCTAGAGATATTCTACAGGTGTCTTGTGTCCATGGAAGTCTATTGGGTTCATCGCTTTTGCTTTGTTTTTGCTATCATTACTTTTAAGTCAGTTGCCATCATCTTTCATCAAACTAAAGAGTAACATCATAACATGGTCATTGATTTGATCACTAGGTGAAAGAACTAAGTAGCAAGGCTAAAGTTGAGATGAAAGAAATGGAAGAAAGACATAACCTTGTTCAGAAAAAGGTAAATAATTTTTTTTTATGCGATGAGCCCCCCCCCCTCCCCCCATGGATAAAGTCAAACTGGGTATTTCAAATTAAGGCTGAAAATATATATATGTGTGATTGTGTAGAATAGGGATTTTAATTCTTGCTAATAAATTATTTGTATATGCTTCTATTTTTCTATCTCAAGCTAAAATTACAATAATATATAATCTTTTTTCAAAATGATGTACTATTTAATTTTAAATAATAGTTTCCTGTCTCAAATGGACTAAGCTCACAGACTTTGGGCCAATTTTAAAAAGAAGTTTTCTTGATTTAAAATTAACACATGTAAAATAATAAGACAAACTAGTTGCCTTAAAATGTATTTCATAAATGACATGGTGTAGAAGCACAATAGGAACTTACCTAGCTGTAACATCCAGACTAATTAAAAGTTTGATGACAGAAGGATATTAGTTCCAACAAACAATCAATTTTATTTTATTTATTGCTTTACTAACCTGAAGCAATAATTATTTTGTCAAATTTTTTAAGTGTTCACATAATATTTATATGAAGTAGTTTCATTCTTAGTTGGTAAATCCAGAGAACCTGGGAAATTAGTCAAGTTCTCTTCATTTTGACCATATGAACTGTGGTAGTTTTTGTCCAGTTTCTTGTTAGTTGTCCATCTTATTAATACATGTTTATAAATGAAAATATAAAAAAAAATTGATGTTGAATTTAATAACTTTAACATAAATGTTAAGATATATTACAGTTCTTTATTCACACTTATTTAGATATCTTTGATAAACTTGTTAATCTAACGCAGTTCTACATATCACAAAGAACATGATGTATATATGCTGTATACATGAAGTAGATGCAATGTTTGAATAGGTGTGTGGGACTGGTCATGTCTGACTCAAGCCTAGTGGACCATTGGGTCACTCTACAGTGGCTGCAGGTTTTCTGTCTTTTTGTCCTTTCTTTGGTGCTTCCTTGGCGTCTGATTGTTTCTTCTTTCCTTGCTTATTCTTTTTACCTTTCTTGTCAGTTTTTTTGGAGCTTGTTTCACTTTGTTTGGAACTTGTTTCAGTCTTTTGAGAGCTTGTTTCAGACTTTTTGGGGTTATCTTTAATTGGCTTGGAGCTTGCTTCCGTTTCTTTGGGGGTTTTTTCACCTTGTTGGGATGATGATTTACTGCCTTTTCCCTTCTTGTTTCTTTGTTTTTCTTTCCTAACCTTCTTACCGTCTTCTGGGTTGTCATCAGTCATTGCCAGAGGCACCAGCTCTGGTGCTTTAGCCTGGTCTGCCTGGCTTTGACTGCTGAAGGGGTCACTCAGAACCTCTGTGTCCTGCTCGTCCTCACTGGCCCATTCGTTATCTCCAAGAGATGAAATGGGCCGACCCTGCAGTCGTGTTGGTTTATTACACAGCAGCTCCTCATCCTGGTAGAAGGTGATGGTGTTTGTTGAAGCCATCCAGTCCTTCAGCCATTTCAGTCTCCGTGTGCACCTCAGAGCATTACCGTCAAGGCTCATGAAGTTGAGATGTGGGAAGATGGCTCGAATTTGTGGACTCACCCACTCCAGGTCATTATAGCTGAGGTCAATGCTGGTCAGCAACTGAAGGGGTATGTTGCTGAGTGCGGAGTTGTCCAGCATGGTCATGAAGGCAGCGGCTAACCCAGGGCTGGCTCTGAGGTCAAGCTTCTGCAGGCGCAACATTTCCGGCAGAAATCTGCCCATGATTTCAAATTGTTCCGAGGAAATATAGGACAAAGACAGTTCTGTCAGGTTAGCCAGGTTCTCAAAGGCCCCCGCTTCAATTTTCCTGATGGGGTTGCTGCCCAGCAACAGTCTACTTAAGCTGCCAAGGTGGCTGAACGTGTTGCTCTCCAGAACTTCGATTCTGTTGAGCTCAAAGTTGAGAGTGTTGAGGAATTGCAGGCCTCTGAACGTGTTGGGCGTGATGCTGTTGATCAGGTTTTCCTGAACGTTGAAGAACTCCAGGCGCGAGCGGTTGGTGAAGAGGTCAAGCTCGATGGTCTGGATTAGGTTAGAGTCTAAATGTAATCGTTTGACACCGTCTGGAAGTCTTCGTGGGATGTACGTCAGCTCGTTCTGTCTGAGCCATATCTGTTGATACATAAGGAGGTAAATTATAACAAGCTAAATGTTTTCAGTAGTGACAGGTGATTGCTTGCTTGTTGGCAATAAGGCAGTTTGCTCTAAGGTCTAGGTATTGTGATACCTTGGGTGAGTTTTGTTATGCTGGTATACTCACATCTGTCAACTCAGTCAAGTGGGACATGATACCATCATCAACTATTTGTAACTTGTTGTTGTTCATGGTCAGAATTTGCAAGTTGGTGATGTTGCTCAGGTCCGTGTCATTAACCTGTGCAAAAAGTAAACTGACATTCAGGCAATGCTGGATCTTTGCGAATGTGTTTTGTCAAGATATGTTTGTGCTATTTGCTTCATTATCTGTATCTTTCTGATACTTGATCTCGCCCGTATCATGTAATTTGATAAACCCAACTTTGCTACTTCATCTTTAGTTTTTGTGTGCCATGATTGATGTAAATTTATGTGGTTGGCTGTTTGACACCATCTTTCCACAACCACTTTAATATTGCTGTGGCCGACCCTGGCTGTAGCAACTTTCATATCATGTCCAACCCTGGTGTGGTTGGTACCAACCTGTACTCACCACTTTGATATTGTAATGTCCAACCCTGGTGTGGTTGGTGTTGTAATGTCCAACCCTGGTGTGGTTGGTGTTGTAATGTCCAACCCTGGTGTGGTACCAACCTGTACTCACCACTTTGATATTGTAATGTCCAACCCTGGTGTGATTGGTGCCAACCTGTACTCACCACTTTGATGTTGTAATGTCAAACGCAGGTGGGGTTGGTGCCAACCTGTACTCACCACTTTGATGTTGTAATGTCCAACCCTGGTGTGGTTGATGTTGTAATGTCCAACCCTGGTGTGGTTGGTGCCAACCTGTACTCACCACTTTGATGTTGTTAAAACCAAGCCTCAGGTCTGTGACGGAGGCAGGAAAGGGCCCAGGAACTTCATTCAGTGCACATTTAGAGAAGTCCACCAGCTGTAGGTACTCTGTGGTGAACTCAAATCTCGGAGTTGTCGCTAAGTTATAGTTGTGGTTGAGAAATAAATTTCTATGAAACAAAATTAAAAGGAAATGATCTTTAGAATCTTTCAAATTAAAGTAGGATTTTTGTTTTCATACACATAAGAGTTTTTGAATCTATTCAGTAATAGTGGAAAAAATAAAAATCTTGAACCTTTTAATAGCAATGAAAGATCTTTAAGATACCTTTCGGTGTACTAGAATTAACCATGAGGTCCCACTGTACCAAATCTAACAATGCACTTTCCAATTTGTATCTTAGCAGATGGTCATAAACGAATGTATTCTGTCATGTAAGATGTAACTAAGTGAGATTACAAAACATACAGACCTCAGACTCCTCAGGTTTTTAAAAGCTCGCCTGTGCAGAGTTGTTATTTCGTTACTGCTGAGGTCAAGGCCATGTAAATTACCCAGGCTGGAGAACTCCGTCTCCCCGATGACGCGGAGTTTGTTTTTGCTGAGGTTAAGTTGGGTCAAGCTTGGGACCTGGTCCAGGAACCCCAGGCTGGCCAGCTTGTTGTTCTGGAGGAACAGAGTCCGGAGCAGCCGCAGGTTACGGAAGGCACCAGCGGATATGCTGGTGATCTTGTTGTCACTGAGATCCAGAGACAGCAGGTTTGGGAAGTTGCTGGGGGAGAGGTTGTAACCAAGTTAGCAGGTTTGGGGAGAGTTTGTAACCAAGTTAGCAGGTTTGGGGAGAGGTTGTAACCAGGTTAGCAGGTTTGGGGAGAGGTTGTAACCAAGTTAGCAGGTTTGGGGAGAGGTTGTAACCAGGTTAGCAGGTTTGGGGAGAGGTTGTAACCAAGTTAGCAGGTTTGGGGAGAGGTTGTAACCAGGTTAGCAGGTTTGGGGAGAGGTTGTAACCAAGTTAGCAGGTTTGGGGAGAGGTTGTAACCAGGTTAGCAGGTTTGGGGAGAGGTTGTAACCAAGTTAGCAGGTTTGGGAAGTTGCTGGGGGAGAGGTTGTAACCAAGTTAGCAGGTTTGGGGAGAGTTTGTAACCAAGTTAGCAGGTTTGGGGAGAGGTTGTAACCAGGTTAGCAGGTTTGGGGAGAGGTTGTAACCAAGTTAGCAGGTTTGGGAAGTTGCTGGAGGAGAGGTTGTAACCAAGTTAGCAGGTTTGGGGAGAGTTTGTAACCAAGTTAGCAGGTTTGGGGAGAGGTTGTAACCAAGTTAGCAGGTTTGGGGAGAGGTTGTTACCAAGTTAGCAGGTTAGGGGAGTGGTTGAAACCAAGTTAGCAGGTTTGGGAAGTTGCTGGGGGAGAGGTTGTAAGTTAGCAGGTTTGGGGAGTTGTTGGGGGGAGAGGTTGTAACCAAGTTAGCAGGTTTGGGGAGAGTTTGTAACCAAGTTAGCAGGTTTGGTGAGTTGCTGGGGGAGAGGTTGTAACCAAGTTAACAGGTTTGGGAAGAGGTTGTAACCAGGTTAGCAGGTTTAGGGATAGGTTGTAACCAAGTTAGCAGGTTTGGGGAGAGGTTGTAACCAGGTTAGCAGGTTTAGGGAGAGGTTGTAACCAGGTTAGCAGGTTTGGGGAGAGTTTGTAACCAAGTTAGCAGGTTTGGGGAGAGTTTGTAACCAAGTTAGCAGGTTTGGGAAGTGGCTGGGGGAGAGGTTGTAACCAAGTTAGCAGGTTTGTGGAGAGTTTGTAACCAAGTTAGCAGGTTTGGGGAGAGGTTGTAACCAGGTTAGCAGGTTTGGGGAGAGGTTGTAACCAGGTTAGCAGGTTTGGGGAGTTGCTGGGGGAGAGGTTGTAACCAAGTTAACAGGTTTGGGAAGAGGTTGTTACCAGGTTAGCAGGTTAGGGGAGTGGTTGTAACCAAGTTAACAGGTTTGGGAAGAGGTTGTTACCAGGTTAGCAGGTTTAGGGATAGGTTGTAACCAAGTTAGCAGGTTTGGGGAGAGGTTGTAAGTTAGCAGGTTTGGGAAGTTGCTAGGGGAGAGGTTGTAACCAAGTTATCAGGTTTGGGGAGAGTTTGTAACCAAGTTAGCAGGTTTGGGGAGAGGTTGTAACCAGGTTAGCAGGTTTGGGGAGAGGTTGTAACCAGGTTAGCAGGTTTGGGGAGTTGCTGGGGGAGAGGTTGTAACCAAGTTAACAGGTTTGGGAAGAGGTTGTTACCAGGTTAGCAGGTTTAGGGATAGGTTGTAACCAAGTTAGCAGGTTTGGGGAGAGGTTGTAACCAGGTTAGCAGGTTTGGGGAGAGGTTGTAACCAAGTTAGCAGGTTTGGGGAGAGTTTGTAACCAAGTTAGCAGGTTTGGGAAGTTGCTGTGGGAGAGGTTGTAACCAAGTTAACAGGTTTGGGGAGAGGTTGTAACCAGGTTAGCAGGTTTGGGAAGTTGCTGGGGGAGAGGTTGTAACCAAGTTAGCAGGTTTGGGGAGAGTTTGTAACCAAGTTAGCAGGTTTGGGGAGAGGTTGTAACCAGGTTAGCAGGTTTGGGGAGAGGTTGTAACCAGGTTAGCAGGTTTGGGGAGTTGCTGGGGGAGAGGTTGTAACCAAGTTAACAGGTTTGGGAAGAGGTTGTTACCAGGTTAGCAGGTTTAGGGATAGGTTGTAACCAAGTTAGCAGGTTTGGGGAGAGGTTGTAACAAGGTTAGCAGGTTTGAGGAGAGGTTGTAACCAAGTTAGCAGGTTTGGGGAGAGGTTGTAACCAAGTTAGCAGGTTTGGGGAGAGGTTGTAACCAAGTTAGCAGGTTTGGGGAGAGGTTGTAACCAAGTTAGCAGGTTTGGGGAGAGGTTGTAACCAAGTTAGCAGGTTTGGGGAGTTGTTGGGGGGAGAGGTTGTAACCAAGTTAGCAGGTTTGGGGAGAGGTTGTAACCAAGATAGCAGGTTTGGGGAGAGTTTGTAACCAAGTTAGCAGGTTTGGTGAGTTGCTGGGGGAGAGGTTGTAACCAAGTTAACAGGTTTGGGAAGAGGTTGTTACCAGGTTAGCAGGTTTAGGGATAGGTTGTAACCAAGTTAGCAGGTTTGGGGAGAGGTTGTAACCAGGTTAGCAGGTTTAGGGAGAGGTTGTAACCAGGTTAGCAGGTTTGGGGAGAGTTTGTAACCAAGTTAGCAGGTTTGGGGAGAGTTTGTAACCAAGTTAGCAGGTTTGGGAAGTGGCTGGGGGAGAGGTTGTAACCAAGTTAGCAGGTTTGTGGAGAGTTTGTAACCAAGTTAGCAGGTTTGGGGAGAGGTTGTAACCAGGTTAGCAGGTTTGGGGAGAGGTTGTAACCAGGTTAGCAGGTTTGGGGAGTTGCTGGGGGAGAGGTTGTAACCAAGTTAACAGGTTTGGGAAGAGGTTGTTACCAGGTTAGCAGGTTAGGGGAGTGGTTGTAACCAAGTTAACAGGTTTGGGAAGAGGTTGTTACCAGGTTAGCAGGTTTAGGGATAGGTTGTAACCAAGTTAGCAGGTTTGGGGAGAGGTTGTAAGTTAGCAGGTTTGGGAAGTTGCTAGGGGAGAGGTTGTAACCAAGTTATCAGGTTTGGGGAGAGTTTGTAACCAAGTTAGCAGGTTTGGGGAGAGGTTGTAACCAGGTTAGCAGGTTTGGGGAGAGGTTGTAACCAGGTTAGCAGGTTTGGGGAGTTGCTGGGGGAGAGGTTGTAACCAAGTTAACAGGTTTGGGAAGAGGTTGTTACCAGGTTAGCAGGTTTAGGGATAGGTTGTAACCAAGTTAGCAGGTTTGGGGAGAGGTTGTAACCAGGTTAGCAGGTTTGGGGAGAGGTTGTAACCAAGTTAGCAGGTTTGGGGAGAGTTTGTAACCAAGTTAGCAGGTTTGGGAAGTTGCTGTGGGAGAGGTTGTAACCAAGTTAACAGGTTTGGGGAGAGGTTGTAACCAGGTTAGCAGGTTTGGGAAGTTGCTGGGGGAGAGGTTGTAACCAAGTTAGCAGGTTTGGGGAGAGTTTGTAACCAAGTTAGCAGGTTTGGGGAGAGGTTGTAACCAGGTTAGCAGGTTTGGGGAGAGGTTGTAACCAGGTTAGCAGGTTTGGGGAGTTGCTGGGGGAGAGGTTGTAACCAAGTTAACAGGTTTGGGAAGAGGTTGTTACCAGGTTAGCAGGTTTAGGGATAGGTTGTAACCAAGTTAGCAGGTTTGGGGAGAGGTTGTAACAAGGTTAGCAGGTTTGGGGAGAGGTTGTAACCAAGTTAGCAGGTTTGGGGAGAGGTTGTAACCAAGTTAGCAGGTTTGGGGAGAGGTTGTAACCAAGTTAGCAGGTTTGGGGAGAGGTTGTAACCAAGTTAGCAGGTTTGGGGAGAGGTTGTAACCAAGTTAGCAGGTTTGGGGAGAGGTTGTAACCAAGTTAGCAGGTTTGGGGAGAGGTTGTAACCAATTTAGCAGGTTTGGGGAGAGGTTGTAACCAAGTAAGCAGGTTTGTGGAGAGGTTTTAACCAAGTTAGCAGGTTTGGGGAGAGGTTTTAACCAAGTTAGCAGGTTTGGGGAGAGGTTGTAACCAAGTTAGCAGGTTTGTGGAGAGGTTGTAACCAAGTAAGCAGGTTTGGGGAGAGGTTGTAACCAAGTTAGCAGGTTTGGGGAGAGGTTGTAACCAAGTTAGCAGGTTTGTGGAGAGGTTGTAACCAAGTAAGCAGGTTTGGGGAGAGGTTTTAACCAAGTTAGCAGGTTTGGGGAGAGGTTGTAACCAAGTTAGCAGGTTTGTGGAGAAGTTGTAACCAAGTAAGCAGGTTTGGGGAGAGGTTGTAACCAAGTTAGCAGCTTTGGGGAGAGGTTGTAACCAAGTTAGCAGGTTTGTGGAGAGGTTGTAACCAAGTAAGCAGGTTTGGGGAGAGGTTGTAACCAAGTTAGCAGCTTTGGGAATTTGCTGGGGAGACACGGTGGCCAAGTTAGCAGGTTTGGGAAGTTGCAGGGTGGCCAAGTTAGCAAGTTTGGGGAGTTGCAGGGTGGCCAAGTTAGCAGGTTTGGGAAAATACCATTGAGTTTGTGAACACGTTAGTAAATTACCTGAGTGCGTTATCCCGTAAGATGGTAATCTTGTTGCCATTGAGCTTGAGTGACTCGACTGTTTCTGATCGTGTGAAAGACCTTGTGCCCACCACTCTGATGTTGTTACGTTGTAGATCTATGTCTGTCGTGCCCCTAGGGTAGCTCTGGACAAGAGAAAACAAAGTTTAGTGGCGATCTAGGCAAGTCAGTTTAGTGGCGACATGGACAAGTCAGTTTAGTGGCGACATGGACAAGTCAGTTTAGTGGCGATCTGGGTATGGTCAAGTCAATTTAGTGGCGATCTGGGTATGGTCAAGTCAGTTTAGTGTCGACTTACGGTCAAGTCAGTTTAGTGTCGACTTATGGTCAAGTCAGTTTAGTGTCGACATGGACAAGTCAGTTTAGTGTCGACTTATGGTCAAGTCAGTTTAGTGTCGACTTATGGTCAAGTCAGTTTAGTGTCGACATGGACAAGTCAGTTTAGTGTCGACATGGACAAGTCAGTTTAGTGGCGACTTATGGTCAAGTCAGTTTAGTGTCGACATGGACAAGTCAGTTTAGTGGCGACTTATGGTCAAGTCAGTTTAGTGTCGACATGGTCAAGTCAGTTTAGTGGCGATCTGGGTATGGTCAAGTCAGTTTAGTGTCGACATGGTCAAGTCAGTTTAGTGTCGACATGGACAAGTTAGTTTAGTGTCGACATGGTCAAGTCAGTTTAGTGTCGACATGGACAAGTCAGTTTAGTGGCGACTTATGGTCAAGTCAGTTTAGTGTCGACATGGTCAAGTCAGTTTAGTGTCGACATGGACAAGTCAGTTTAGTGTCGACATGGTCAAGTCAGTTTAGTGTCGACATGGACAAGTCAGTTTAGTGGCGACTTATGGTCAAGTCAGTTTAGTGTCGACATGGTCAAGTCAGTTTAGTGTCGACATGGACAAGTCAGTTTAGTGGCGACTTATGGTCAAGTCAGTTTAGTGTCGACATGGTCAAGTCAGTTTAGTGTCGACATAGACAAGTCGGTTTAGTGTCGACATGGACAAGTCAGTTTAGTGTCGACTTATGGTCAAGTCAATTTAGTGACGATCTGGGTATGGTCAAGTCAATTTAGTGGCGATCTGGGTATGGTCAAGTCAGTTTAGTGTCGACATGGTCAAGTCAGTTTAGTGTCGACTTATGGTCAAGTCAGTTTAGTGTCGACATGGGCAAGTCAGTTTAGTGTCGACATGGACAAGTCAGTTTAGTGTCGACTCATAGTCAAGTCAGTTTAGTGTCGACTTATGGTCAAGTCAGTTTAGTGTCGACTTATGGTCAAGTCAGTTTAGTGTCGACTTACGGTCAAGTCAGTTTAGTGTCGACATGGACAAGTCAGTTTAGTGTCGACTTATGGTCAAGTCAGTTTAGTGTCGACATGGACAAGTCAGTTTAGTGTCGACTTATGGTCAAGTCAGTTTAGTGTTGACATGGACGAGTCAGTTTAGTGTCGACATGGACAAGTCAGTTTAGTGTCGACATGGTCAAGTCAGTTTAGTGTCGACTTATGGTCAAGTCAGTTTAGTGTTGACATGGACGAGTCAGTTTAGTGTCGACTTATGGTCAAGTGAGTTTAGTGTCGACATGGACAAGTCAGTTTAGTGTCGACATGGTCAAGTCAGTTTAGTGTCGACATGGTCAAGTCAGTTTAGTGTCGACTTATGGTCAAGTCAATTTAGTGGCGATCTGGGTATAGTCAAGTCAATTTAGTGGCGATCTGGGTATGGTCAAGTCAGTTTAGTGTCGACATGGACAAGTCAGTTTAGTGTCGACATAGACAAGTCGGTTTAGTGTCGACATGGACAAGTCAGTTTAGTGTCGACTTATGGTCAAGTCAGTTTAGTGTCGACATGGACAAGTCAGTTTAGTGTTGACTTATGGTCAAGTCAGTTTAGTGGCGACTTATGGTCAAGTCAGTTTAGTGTCGACTCAAGGTCAAGTCAGTTTAGTGTCGACTTATGGTCAAGTCAGTTTAGTGTCGACATGGACAAGTCAGTTTAGTGTTGACATGGTCAAGTCAGTTTAGTGTCGACTCATGGTCAAGTCAGTTTAGTGTCGACTTATGGTCAAGTCAGTTTAGTGTCGACTTATGGTCAAGTCAGTTTAGTGTCGACTTATGGTCAAGTCAGTTTAGTGTCGACTTATGGTCAAGTCAATTTAGTGGCGATCTGGGTATGGTCAAGTCAGTTTAGTGTCGACATGGACAAGTCAGTTTAGTGTCGACATGGTCAAGTCAGTTTATTGGCGACTTATGGTCAAGTCAGTTTAGTGTCGACTTATGGTCAAGTCAGTTTAGTGTCGACATGGACAAGTCGGTTTAGTGTCGACATGGACAAGTCAGTTTAGTGTCGACATGGTCAAGTCAGTTTAGTGTCGACATGGACAAGTCAGTTTAGTGGCGACATGGACAAGTCAGTTTAGTGTCGACATGGACAAGTCAGTTTAGTGGCGACATGGACAAGTCAGTTTTATTGTTGATCTGGGTATGGTCAAGTCAGTTTAGTGTCGACATGGACAAGTCAGTTTAGTGTCGACTTATGGTCAAGTCAGTTTAGTGTCGACTTATGGTCAAGTCAGTTTAGTGTCGACTTATGGTCAAGTCAGTTTAGTGTCGACATGGACAAGTCAGTTTAGTGTTGACATGGTCAAGTCAGTTTAGTGTCGACTTATGGTCAAGTCAGTTTAGTGTCGACTTATGGTCAAGTCAGTTTAGTGTCGACTTATGGTCAAGTCAGTTTAGTGTCGACATGGACAAGTCAGTTTAGTGTCGACATGGTCAAGTCAGTTTAGTGTCGACTTATGGTCAAGTGAGTTTAGTGTCGACATGGTCAAGTCAGTTTAGTGTCGACATGGACAAGTCAGTTTAGTGTCGACATGGACAAGTCAGTTTAGTGTCGACTTATGGTCAAGTCAATTTAGTGTCGACATGGACAAGTCAGTTTAGTGTCGACTTATGGTCAAGTCAGTTTAGTGTCGACTTATGGTCAAGTCAGTTTAGTGTCGACTTATGGTCAAGTCAGTTTAGTGTCGACATGGACAAGTCAGTTTAGTGTTGACATGGTCAAGTCAGTTTAGTGTCGACATGGTCAAGTCAGTTTAGTGTCGACATGGTCAAGTCAGTTTAGTGTCGACTTATGGTCAAGTCAGTTTAGTGTCGACATGGACAAGTCAGTTTAGTGTTGACTTATGGTTAAGTCAGTTTAGTGTCGACATGGTCAAGTCAGTTTAGTGTCGACATGGACAACTCGGTTACTGTCGACTTATGGTCAAGTCAGTTTAGTGTCGACTTATGGTCAAGTCAGTTTAGTGTCGACTTACGGTCAAGTCAGTTTAGTGTCGACTTATGGTCAAGTCAGTTTAGTGTCGACTTATGGTCAAGTCAGTTTAGTGTCGACATGGACAAGTCAGTTTAGTGTCGACATGGTCAAGTCAGCTTAGTGTCGACTTATGGTCAAGTCAGTTTAGTGTCGACATGGTCAAGTCAGTTTAGTGTCGACATGGAAAAGTCGGTTTAGTGTCGACTTATGGTCAAGTCAGTTTAGTGTCGACATGGACAAGTCAATTTAGTGTCGACTTATGGTCAAGTCAGTTTAGTGTTGACATGGACAAGTCAGTTTAGTGTCGACATGGACAAGTCAGTTTAGTGTCGACTTATGGTCAAGTCAGTTTAGTGTCGACTTATGGACAAGTCAGTTTAGTGTCGACTTATGGTCAAGTCAGTTTAGTGTCGACATGGTCAAGTCAGTTTAGTGTCGACATGGACAAGTCAGTTTAGTGTCGACATGGTCAAGTCAGTTTAGTGTCGACTCATGGTCAAGTCAGTTTAGTGTCGACATGGTCAAGTCAGTTTAGTGTCGACTTATGGTCAAGTCAGTTTAGTGTTGACATGGACAAGTCAGTTTAGTGGCGACTTATGGTCAAGTCAGTTTAGTGTCGACATGGTCAAGTCAGTTTAGTGTCGACATGGTCAAGTCAGTTTAGTGTCGACATGGTCAAGTCAGTTTAGTGTCGACATGGTCAAGTCAGTTTAGTGTCGACATGGACAAGTCAGTTTAGTGTCGACATGGTCAAGTCAGTTTAGTGTCGACATGGACAAGTCAGTTTAGTGTCGACATAGACAAGTCGGTTTAGTGTCGACATGGTCAAGTCAGTTTAGTGTCGACTCATGGTCAAGTCAGTTTAGTGTCGACATGGTCAAGTCAGTTTAGTGTCGACTTATGGTCAAGTCAGTTTAGTGTTGACATGGACAAGTCAGTTTAGTGGCGACTTATGGTCAAGTCAGTTTAGTGTCGACATGGTCAAGTCAGTTTAGTGTCGACATGGTCAAGTCAGTTTAGTGTCGACATGGACAAGTCAGTTTAGTGTCGACATGGACAAGTCAGTTTAGTGTCGACATGGTCAAGTCAGTTTAGTGTCGACATGGACAAGTCAGTTTAGTGTCGACATGGACAAGTCAGTTTAGTGTCGACATGGTCAAGTCAGTTTAGTGTCGACATGGACAAGTCAGTTTAGTGTCGACATGGACAAGTCAGTTTAGTGTTGACATGGACAAGTCAGTTTAGTGGCGACTTATGGTCAAGTCAGTTTAGTGTCGACATGGACAAGTCAGTTTAGTGGCGACTTATGGTCAAGTCAGTTTAGTGTCGACATGGACAAGTCAGTTTAGTGTCGACTTATGGTCAAGTCAGTTTAGTGTCGACATGGTCAAGTCAGTTTAGTGTCGACTTATGGTCAAGTCAGTTTAGTGTCGACATGGACAAGTCAGTTTAGTGGCGACTTATGGTCAAGTCAGTTTAGTGTCAACATGGTCAAGTCAGTTTAGTGTTGACATGGTCAAGTCAGTTTAGTGTCGACATGGTCAAGTCAGTTTAGTGTCGACATGGTCAAGTCAGTTTAGTGTCGACATGGTCAAGTCAGTTTAGTGTCGACATGGTCAAGTCAGTTTAGTGTTGACATGGTCAAGTCAGTTTAGTGTCGACATGGGCAAGTCAGTTTAGTGTCGACTTATGGTCAAGTCAGTTTAGTGTCGACTTATGGTCAAGTCAGTTTAGTGTCGACATGGACAAGTCAGGATGTCAGTTTAGTGGCGATCTAAACATGGACAAGAGAAATATGAAGGTAGTTGCGTTGATGTTGGACAGCCGTAAAGGTTACGCAGGCATCACGGCTTTCAAAAGGGGCACGACCATCTAGATTAGGCAGCCGACAAGATTGGACGACCGTTAAGGTTGAACATTCATGGTCGGCAAGATTTGACAACCGATAGACGTAATGGGAGTTAATGTTTGACAACCATCATTGCACGGCATGTATCTAAACCATTTGTGTTAATAGGCTATGCCCTGGGTTGGCTCCGTACCCTTCATCCCGTTAGTGGTCGTGTCGGTACTTACTGTCGGTGCAGCGGTGAGACTCTTTCTTGAGCAGTTGGCGGTGTTGTCGGAGCAGAACCGGCACTGGATGGGGCAGGGGGTCTGACCCAGGGCGTGCTGGCCCACCATCAGCATCACTAGACCCAGTAGTACCACGTGACATAGTTGACTCGTTGACCCCGTCATAGCCATTTTGTCTTCTGGAGAAATTTGGATATCTTTATAATAGGTTATTATAGTGAATATAATTTTGTTTATATTTATATATGCGTTTCTATATCCATACATATAATATCTGTATATATATATATATATATATATATATATATATATATATATATATATATATATATATATTCATCTATACTTTGATATTGATACAAATAATAATAGAGTTACTAACCTGAATTTCACTATCGTACTTACTTATATAGATTTAAAATTTGAACATAACTATTACAGCTAACGGTGTCAGAACTTACATTTAGCGCTTATTCACCTGGCCAAGTATTCTATAACAGTTTATAAAATGTCTTTAACTCATTGTTCTACCTTTGTTCGACACAATTTCCTTACTTTTTAGCACTACCCTCTGCCTTCGACGCTGGGCCATTATGTTGTTTCCTACTCTCTACTCTACAGCGCCACTCACCGTTTTAAAGTGGCACCATGTGCCCAGATTTGTTTACATTGCTGGCCAGATTTTTCTCGTTCAATAGGTTAAATCTGAGATTTATGTTTACCCCGGGCCACTCTACGAGCTAGCGTAAACCTTCCCCCCTCTCCGTGTGCACCTCAACTTTTGACTGCATGACGAGCTTTGGGATGGGAAAGATAGAGGAGTGGGGGCGCACTCAACCACTGCTGGTCGGTGTCGTTGTTTTAATTCTAATGAAATTTCTAAACAAAACTTAATTGCATTTTGATTATGAGATCACTTCGGCGATGTATAATACGTTTAATATCTTCATAAAAATACCGATTTTTTTTTTTTTAAATTTATTTCCTAGATGCATCCGCTAAACGTGTTGGCCTTAATGCGACTGTAATGTTCCAATAAGACTGTAATGCTCCCATATTACATACTAACAATTAAGTGTATAACTCGTCTAGGACCGCTACAATTTTATTGACTCATGTTGTATTAGTATCCGCGCAACGATATATTATAGTTTCAAAACAATTTCGATAACTCTTTGTTTATGCATATGCATCATTTATAATTTCACGGTTGTGTCCCTTTAAGAAAAACTGTTGTAGCTAAATGTTGAGGCGAATGTCAGGACCGACAATTCTGCTGAAACTGAGTTGTTGCTTTCACTTTCAGCCAGTTGCCGACGTTTGCACTAATGTTTGTATCCAAAACTAAGATGTAGGCGTTTAAAACTATGCTCGTAGCAATGTGCTGAAGTTATGTTTTCTCAGCTTGTTTTTGTTATTGAACTAAAATGACGACAACAGGCAGGATGTAAACAAGAAAACAGCTTAGGTGTTTGATTGGTACATAACATCAACAGCCCCATCACCAACGTTATAGGTGGCAGGATATACAAATGGTGAAACTACCGAAATTTTCGTTGTGAGATGATACAGAAAGACAGCATAATCACACACAGACACTATGAAGTCATTGAAGTAACACCCCCCCCCCCCTACAAATAAGTACTCAACACCCCACGTTTCATTGTCTCCCCACACATTCCCTTTGGCTAGGACTGAATGGTTCAGACTCCCGTTATAATTGATGCCGCAATATACGGACAGGAGGACAGCGCTATGCTATTACTGGTACCAGCAAGCTACTCTGAATGTTTCCTTATCCACCTTGGTATTATTACAAAGCCGACGGTCGACTTATAACGAGTCGTCTCAGATCTGTACACATTTTTTAATACACACAACACAATGCAATTAGCATCATTGCTTATCTTTAGGACATGAATATCCAGTCCGTTTTTTTTTATCTTCCAGAACACAGTATATTCAAAACTCAGCATTTTCTTTAGGACAGTATATTTTAGGAAGATGTTTTCGTGCTAATTAACACAATCTAGTAATATCTTAGTTTAAAAAAAAAAATACAAAATACATTTTACGTTAGAATTCTTATCACATCACAATAACATTGTGCCCTTAAAAAAATCCCCCCCCCCCCCCCCCGTAAAGCACTTGTTCAGCCTATAACGTACAATCAATCCCACTCCTCCTCATTATGTAGCTGTGTTTATTATGAAGTGATAAGAACTTCGCCCGATAAAAGAATTGATGGGATTCGAAAGAAGACCCCCCCCCCCCATTCTGAATGCCAGCTGAATGCCAAACTTTCGCCCACTTAAAAAAAACGTGTTTGCTACAGCTTTAAAAATATTTTTTGAATTAGTTTCTCCTTTTACTTTTGATAATTAGTAACTTTAAAAGAATTTTAGTTTACTAATGTACTATAACGATTCTTCTGGTGAAATAATTAACCATGTGTCAATTAAAATAATAGTACTCAATTATCTCAATTATCTATTTGTTCATTTAATTACACTAATATTCTGTCAGTCAATTAAATTATTTATACTCATTGTCTCTACGGTTAATTTATTCATGTCAAATTATTTTTCGCTGACCTAGCTCATTTTCTTACCTGTTTGCTAAGTGGTGGCCTTGACCTTTGGGTACATGCTCTCTATTCTGCGCGCGTGATTATTTTGTGTTCGTTTTTTTGTCACTTCTGATAAGGTCAGCATGTCTGTAGTGCATCGGTACCTTCAGCTTCCTGAGTACCAGTGGTGCTAGCTGTAAGGGCACCATAGGACACCATAGGCCTTATGACCAACGGCTGAATGGGGTATTTAGTATTGGATGTGTGGATGGTAACTTCAGTACCGTCTTCGTGGTTGGTTCCTTGTACCATATTTATACATTGCGGTAACTTTGATCACATCTTCACATCACCTGTGTACAACCGTCGCTACCACGTTGTTAATCTATCTTACACTCTTGGTAATTTGAGTATCGTCTTCGCGGTTATCGTCTTTGTATTAATCCTTGTTAGTAACTTGAGTACCATCTTTGTGGTTAATCCATCTTGGTAACTTGAGAACCGTCACTTTGGTTGATCCATTTTGGTAACTTGAGAACCGTCACTGTGGTTAATCCATTTTTGGTGACTTGAGAACCGTCTATGTGGTTAATACATTTTTGGTGACTTGAGAACCGTCTATGTGGTTAATACGTTTTACCGTCCCGTTGTTTGGAGCTCCAGCGCCGCACTATTGTGGGAACATCCCTCTGTATGATGCTATCCCTCGAGATTGAGGTATCTCCATTACAGATTGTTGGCAACATCCATGCCTTGTTTTTGTTTCTGCCCGCTCCCATATAAAAACAAAGGCTGACTAATCATCGTCGATCTGTTTACGCGCCGTTTGTATGTTTATAACGGAAGTGTAGGCTCAGCAGACGTAGACCGGGTCTGCTTGTTTCCCCCTCTACTTTCTAGATCTACCTGTTGCTAGACTCTGTGAGATCACAGATTTGATTCCCAATGACTCATTTACCTGTACTGGTTATTCAACTCTGTTGAGCAGTGGTTGGGCAGGTACATTTCGTTTTATGGCCATTGCTTTTAATTAGTTGCTTGTTTTAAGGAATGAGAGATGTATGGATTAGTTGCTTTGGTTGTTTGGTTTTCAGCCTATGTTGCAGTTGTTTTTTTGTTTTTTTTGTTGATTTCAGAGCATAGCTGGCATCCACTTTTTCCGTGTATGTTGCCTTTTTGTTTCGTGTATATTCATGGGTGTGGCAAAGATCAGTGCGCTAAAAATTGTTTTAAATCTGCAGTCATTTAATTTTTCTGCCGTTGTTAAAGTTCAAGGCCTAATTGAGGTTAATTGATGCTGCCTGCTCGCACATGTGTGTTGTATTAAATTGTTTTTCTCCTGTCAGCTTTGAGGATTTTTTGACCGAAACGTTTTCCACAGAGTTTTACTTTATAGTTGCTAATTCAGCATGGGAAACAGGCGTAGGCTGGATTTTTCAAAGGGAGGGGTATGCATATAGGCGTATGTGTATATATTGTATATATATATATATATATATATATATATATATATATATATATATATATATATATATATATATATATATATATATATATATATGCATGTTTCAAATATATAGATAGCTATTACAGGAAACTGAGTCGGCTTATCCCTTTATATCTATGTTCGGATATGATATACGATACATATATTTAACTTGTGATGGTATTCATATCTCTACCTGACATAGTATATAAAAACTTAACTATAACAAGCCACGGTATACACTGGCGTATGCAGTGGGTGTTAGGGGGGGGGGTCAGACTACCCTCTCCATGACCCCTCAATATGACAGCTGTCTAATCTAAAACTACAGCTGTTTACGCCGGTGCGTCCGTGTCACTATGAAAGCTTGCAGCTTTAAAAATTAAAAGTTATTTTTTTTTGTGTGTCAGAAGGAAGACAGGTTTTAAAGAAAAACAATTTTGAAATGTCTGACAAAAAAATAAATGTCCGCGTGAAGTGATCCAAGCCCCGTTGTTTACCCCGCCATTAGGTGTCTGCTTCTGTAGTGTCAAGATAACCTTTATGTACACATCTGGTCCCGGCATTCTCCTGAACGGCGCTGGATGTTTTTGTATACAAACTCTGGCATAGACTGGCCATTGGGATGTGGGGGTGGGACACCGCCCATAAAAACTCTGGCATAGACTGGCCATAGGGATGTGGGGGTGAGACACCGCCCATACAAACTCTGGCCCTAGACACCGCCCATACAAACTCTGACAAACACCGCCCATACAAACTCTGGCCCTAGACACCGACCATACAAACTCTGGCCCTAGACACCGCCCATACAAACTCTGGCCCTAGACACCGCCCATACAGACCATACAAACTCTGGCCCTAGACACCGCCCATACAAACTCTGGCCCTAGACACCGCCCATACAAACTCTGGCCCTAGACACCGCCCATACAGACCATACAAACTCTGGCCCTAGACACCGCCCATACAAACTCTGGCCCTAGACACCGCCCATACAAACTCTGGCACTAGACACCGCCCATACAAACTCTGGCCCTAGACACCGCCCATACAAACTCTGGCCCTAGACACCGCCCATACAAACTCTGGCCCTAGACACCGCCCATACAAACTCTGGCCCTAGACACCAACCATACAAACTCTGGCCCTAGACACCGACCATACAAACTCTGGCCCTAGACACCGCCCATACAAACACTGGCCATACACTGGCCATAGGGATGTGGGGGTGGAACACCGCCCATACAAACTCTGGCCATAGGGATGTCGGGGTGGGACACCGCCCATACAAACACTGGCCATACACTGGCCATAGGGATGTGGGGGTGGGACACCGACCATACAAACTCTGGCCCTAGACACCGCCCATCCAAACTCTGGCATAGACTGGCCATAGGGATGTGGGGGTGAGACACCGCCCATACAAACTCTGGCCCTAGACACCGCCCATACAAACTCTGGCACTAGACACCGCCCATACAAACTCTGGCCCTAGACACCGCCCATACAAACTCTGGCCCTAGACACCGCCCATACAAACTCTGGCCCTAGACACCGCCCATACAAACTCTGGCCCTAGACACCGCCCATACAAACTCTGGCCCTAGACACCAACCATACAAACTCTGGCCCTAGACACCGCCCATACAAACTCTGGCCCTAGACACCGCCCATACAAACTCTGGCCCTAGACACCGCCCATACAAACTCTGGCCCTAGACACCGCCCATACAAACTCTGGCCCTAGACACCGCCCATACAAACTCTGGCCCTAGACACCGCCCATACAAACTCTGGCCCTAGACACCGACCATACAAACTCTGGCCCTAGACACCGCCCATACAAACTCTGGCCCTAGACACCGCCCTTACAAACTCTGGCCCTAGACACCGCCCATACAAACTCTGACAAACACCGCCCATACAAACTCTGGCCCTAGACACCGCCCATACAAACTCTGACAAACACCGCCTATACAAACTCTGGCCCTAGACACCGCCCATACAAACTCTGACAAACACCGCCCATACAAACTCTGGCCCTAGACACCGACCATACAAACTCTGGCCCTAGACACCGCCCATACAAACTCTGGCCCTAGACACCGCCCATACAGACCATACAAACTCTGGCCCTAGACACCGCCCATACAAACTCTGGCCCTAGACACCGCCCATACAAACTCTGGCCCTAGACACCGCCCATACAGACCATACAAACTCTGGCCCTAGACACCGCCCATACAAACTCTGGCCCTAGACACCGCCCATACAAACTCTGGCACTAGACACCGCCCATACAAACTCTGGCCCTAGACACCGCCCATACAAACTCTGGCCCTAGACACCGCCCATACAAACTCTGGTCCTAGACACCGCCCATACAAACTCTGGCATACACTGGCCATATGGATGTGGGGGTGGGACACCGCCCATACAAACACTGGCACTAGACACCGCCCATACAAACTCTAGCATAGACTGGCCATATGGATGTGGGGGTGGGACACCGCCCATACAAACACTGGCACTAGACACCGCCCATACAAACTCTAGCATAGACTGGCCATATGGATGTGGGGGTGGGACACCGCCCATACAAACACTGGCACTAGACACCGCCCATACAAACTCTAGCATAGACTGGCCATATGGATGTGGGGGTGGGACACCGCCCATACAAACACTGGCACTAGACACCGCCCATACAAACTCTGGCCCTAGACACCGCCCTTACCTGCCCACCTTTTAGATGTCTTTCTATAGCCGACCCGTCTTAGATGTGCAATGTGTTTATATATATATATTTGTGAGTAGTGCATGCACATAATAAGTGTACTCACTTCCCTGCACGTGCCTAGCTCACTTTGATGAGTGCTAGGTGTGGGCCTATATAGGGCTAGCTCGAGAACCCGGCTAGTTTAATTTAAGGTATGGTATTGTGGCTTTTATTGGGCTAGCTTAGTATGTGCTAATATTTGGTTAGCTCAGTAGTTATGTCCCCATACGTGTCTTAATATTAATACAATTTCAATGTTGTCATTGTTAGAACGCGGGGAGTTAATGTTAGGCTGACTTTCGGTGTTGTTTGGTTAAAAAAATAATGATCTGTTAAGTGAATTAATTAGCGTGGTGTCAGGGCAATCACACTCTGGGTCTAATTGTTACCAAGTATAGAGAGGGGAGGGGTGGAGAAAAAACTGAAAATGTATTTTTTTATTTTGTTGTTTTTATTTCGCGTTAGCAATTGGCGTGCACACATTGAAACACCACAGTTGTTGACGGACTGATAAACACTATATTTCTCTATCGTTGTAAATAATTCAAATCGGCAACCTGTGGAATTTCGCGAGAAAATAAAAGGTGAAATGTACCGACTTTCTTCATCCTAACCCGACATGGCGATAGCTTGCGTCGTAAACATGTTACTAATTCACTCGATAAAACAGTCTATCACTTCTCTATACTTAATATACCTAGATTAAATTATAGACCAATTAATTATGTACCCAAAAGTTAAATGAAATACTTTATAGATATCAAATTTTTAATTAGTGATATGGCACTTGATATAGAAGTTCAAACGAAAACAAGTTTTAGACCTATGTATGAGAAAGTTAAATTACAGAACCATCAGACCTATGTAAGTATTTTAAAAAAAACAACATCAGAATTACGTTAGAGAAAACAAAAGATCAAATTACAGAGCCAAATAGACTCATGTAAGAGAAAACAAAAGATCAAATTACAGAGCCAAATAGACTAATGTAAGAGAAAACAAAAGATCAAATTACAGAGCCAAATAGACTCATGTAAGAGAAAACAAAAGATCAAATTACAGAGCCAAATAGACTCATGTAAGAGAAAACAAAAGATCAAATTACAGAGCCAAATAGACTCATGTAAGAGAAAACAAAAGATCAAATTACAGAGCCAAATAGACTCATGTAAGAGAAAACAAAAGATCAAATTACAGAGTCAAATAGACTCATGTAAGAGAAAACAAAAGATCAAATTACAGAGCCAAATAGACTCATGTAAGAGAAAACAAAAGATCAAATTACAGAGCCAAATAGACTCATGTAAGAGAAAACAAAAGATCAAATTACAGAGCCAAATAGACTCATGTAAGAGAAAACAAAAGATCAAATTACAGAGCCAAATAGACTCATGTAAGAGAAAACAAAAGATCAAATTACAGAGCCAAATAGACTCATGTAAGAGAAAACAAAAGATCAAATTACAGAGTCAAATAGACTCATGTAAGAGAAAACAAAAGATCAAATTACAGAGCCAAATAGACTCATGTAAGAGAAAACAAAAGATCAAATTACAGAGCCAAATAGACTCATGTAAGAGAAAACAAAAGATCAAATTACAGAGCCAAATAGACTCATGTAAGAGAAAACAAAAGATCAAATTACAGAGCCAAATAGACTCATGTAAGAGAAAACAAAAGATCAAATTACAGAGCCAAATAGACTCATGTAAGAGAAAACAAAAGATCAAATTACAGAGTCAAATAGACTCATGTAAGAGAAAACAAAAGATCAAATTACAGAGCCAAATAGACTCATGTAAGAGAAAACAAAAGATCAAATTACAGAGCCAAATAGACTCAAGTAAGAGAAAACAAAAGATCAAATTACAGAGCCAAATAGACTCATGTAAGAGAAAACAAAAGATCAAATTACAGAGCCAAATAGACTCATGTAAGAGAAAACAAAAGATCAAATTACAGAGCCAAATAGACTCATGTAAGAGAAAACAAAAGATCAAATTACAGAGTCAAATAGACTCATGTAAGAGAAAACAAAAGATCAAATTACAGAGTCAAATAGACTCATGTAAGAGAAAACAAAAGATCAAATTACAGAGTCAAATAGACTCATGTAAGAGAAAACAAAAGATCAAATTACAGAGCCAAATAGACTCATGTAAGAGAAAACAAAAGATCAAATTACAGAGCCAAATAGACTAATGTAAGAGAAAACAAAAGATCAAATTACAGAGCCAAATAGACTCATGTAAGAGAAAACAAAAGATCAAATTACAGAGCCAAATAGACTCATGTAAGAGAAAACAAAAGATCAAATTACAGAGCCAAATAGACTCATGTAAGAGAAAACAAAAGATCAAATTACAGAGCCAAATAGACTCATGTAAGAGAAAACAAAAGATCAAATTACAGAGTCAAATAGACTCATGTAAGAGAAAACAAAAGATCAAATTACAGAGCCAAATAGACTCATGTAAGAGAAAACAAAAGATCAAATTACAGAGCCAAATAGACTCATGTAAGAGAAAACAAAAGATCAAATTACAGAGCCAAATAGACTCATGTAAGAGAAAACAAAAGATCAAATTACAGAGCCAAATAGACTCATGTAAGAGAAAACAAAAGATCAAATTACAGAGCCAAATAGACTCATGTAAGAGAAAACAAAAGATCAAATTACAGAGCCAAATAGACTCATGTAAGAGAAAACAAAAGATCAAATTACAGAGCCAAATAGACTCATGTAAGAGAAAACAAAAGATCAAATTACAGAGCCAAATAGACTCATGTAAGAGAAAACAAAAGATCAAATTACAGAGCCAAATAGACTCATGTAAGAGAAAACAAAAGATCAAATTACAGAGCCAAATAGACTCATGTAAGAGAAAACAAAAGATCAAATTACAGAGTCAAATAGACTCATGTAAGAGAAAACAAAAGATCAAATTACAGAGCCAAATAGACTCATGTAAGAGAAAACAAAAGATCAAATTACAGAGTCAAATAGACTCATGTAAGAGAAAACAAAAGATCAAATTACAGAGCCAAATAGACTCATGTAAGAGAAAACAAAAGATCAAATTACAGAGTCAAATAGACTCATGTAAGAGAAAACAAAAGATCAAATTACAGAGTCAAATAGACTCATGTAAGAGAAAACAAAAGATAAATTAGAGTCAATAGACCTATGTAAGTGAAACTCTAGCAGACGAGAGAAGTGAGTACTTACACGACTGGCCGGATCCCAAGTTACTCCTACTGATGTCGCCGCTATGACAAACTCGTCTGCTTCCCTCCGCCCTTTACCTTCATCCCCGCGGTATCGATACCCTCCTCTTTCTTGCCAAGTGAGCAGGAAAATAAATATCTTTTTTTTTTCGCTTAAATTAGTTGACGAATATTTAAAGCTTAACTAGGATGGGCGAAAAAATGTTCTCGAAAATAAAAATAAATGTAAATACTTGGCGATGCCGTCTGTTTATGGCTTGTAGTCGATTCTAGAATCGGAGATTGTGAAGGTGTTTGGGTGGGGTTTTACCGGAGTGTGGGAGACGCGGTTAATGTTGGTGCATGTCATAGACCGGGAAGGTTCTAGACATCCGATTGTACGCGCGTGGGTTCTAGACTTACCGGTGAGCGTTTAATTTAGACTTTTTTTAATTATTAATAAAACGGGATATACATTTCAATTGGATAGATTACTAAAGTTCGCAGGTATTTAAAAGAAAGTATTTTTAGTGCAACAACTTGTTGGCGGTACGCGTGTTTGGGTTTAAGGGAAATGTCATAGAACCTTTCAAAAGAAATTCTGTTGGTGATAATTGACGTTAAGTTCACGAAAGAACTCTCTGTTGCATACAGTTGACATAAAACTCACAAAAAAAATTCTGTTGGTTATGTAAAAAGAAAAAATTCTGCCGCTGATATTTGACGTGAAACGAATCACTATGTGGTGGATTACTTGAGCTCAAGTACTGATGTAAACAACTGTCTCTATTGTTGTTGGCCGAGTACCCACACTCCCCCTTAGTCAGCTGACCTCTCGTGGTGTACGGTAATAGCTCATATTACTTGACACTGTTTCTCACACTATTTCTTGTAGTTCGCATGTAAAGTGACGTCACGCACCTCGGGAACGATTGACTTTGACACCAGTGTTTCTTCCAGATTTTCTTTCTCCGTGGGGGGGGGGGGGGGGGGGGGGGGGGCTGGAAGAAACTCTGTTTGTGACCATGGCCGTGGGTAGGAGATGATTGTCTTCCATAAATTTGGCGTGCTGATATTTTATAGTTTTCAAGAAACTGAATGGTTGAAAAAAAAAACGTGTTAATATTTTTCGGACCTTTTAATTGGGGTGGGGGGTTTGGGTTTGATGTCATTTAGTCTGAGTGCTAGCATTATGCGATGGTCTGTTTGACTGGTGGGGTAGGTTGTTAAATTGAGTGTCGTCATTTGTGAATGACCTATGTATTACTCAGGTGATATACATCTTTAAAAAATAATAGTTTTGCTTTTCGCTTAGGTATTTTGCTTAGATTCTAGATATGTATCTGATTAAGATTTAATTTCATTTGCTCTTCCTTTTAACCTGTAAACAGGGACTTGTTTTATTTTAAACTTTAAGTAAATATATCTTTATAGAAGACTTTGGCTAATATTGCTGTGTTAAGTAATATGTGACTAGATGATACAGCCTTTTTTCTCCTCCCTTATAATTCTGGCCCTCCGCATTAAGTCTAATTAGGATTACTTTGATTCACTTTGAAAGAACTTGTTTTCTCTCTCACTTAAATACCTGCAGTTGACAACCTGTTTAACCAGCAGAATAAAATTGACCATGAGCATACAATATGTAACATTTACAAACACTGGCATAACATTTATACAACCTACCAAAGTAACCTCAACATTTCAGGAAATGGCCTACACTACATCACATAATAAAACATACAACCTACCTAAACACAACCTCTATATTTCAGGACCTAATTTATACACAACCTACCTAAACACAACCTCTATATTTCAGGACCTAAGTTACATACAACCTACCTAAACACAACCTCTATATTTCAGGACCTCAGTGCTAGCAACCTACCTAAACACAACCTCTATATTTCAGGACCTAATTTATATACAACCTACCTAAACACAACCTCTATATTTCAGGACCTCAGCACTAGCAACCTACCTAAACACAACCTCTATATTTCAGGACCTAAGTTACATACAACCTACCTAAACACAACCTCTATATTTCAAGACCTAAGTTACATACAACCTACCTAAACACAACCTCTATATTTCAGGACCTCAGTGCTAGCAACCTACCTAAACACAACCTCTATATTTCATGACCTAAGTTACATACAACCTACCTAAACACAACCTCTATATTTCAGGACCTAAGTTACATACAACCTACCTAAACACAACCTCTATATTTCAGGACCTCAGCACTAGCAACCTACCTAAACACAACCTCTATATTTCAGGACCTCAGCACTAGCAACCTACCTAAACACAACCTCTATATTTCATGACCTAAGTTACATACAACCTACCTAAACACAACCTCTGTATTTCAGGACCTAAGTTACATACAACCTACCTAAACACAACCTCTATATTTCAGGACCTCAGTGCTAGCAACCTACCTAAACACAACCTCTATATTTCAGGACCTCAGTTATATACAACCTACCTAAACACAACCTCTATATTTCATGACCTCAGTTACATACAACCTACCTAAACACAACCTCTATATTTCATGACCTCAGTTACATACAACCTACCTAAACACGACCTCTATATTTCAGGACCTCAGTGCTAGCAACCTACCTAAACACAACCTCTATATTTCAGGACCTAATTTATATACAACCTACCTAAACACAACCTCTATATTTCAGGACCTCAGTGCTAGCAACCTACCTAAACACAACCTCTATATTTCAGGACCTAATTTATATACAACCTACCTAAACACAACCTCTATATTTCAGGACCTAAGTTACATACAACCTACCTAAACACAACCTCTATATTTCAGGACCTCAGTGCTAGCAACCTACCTAAACACAACCTCTATATTTCAGGACCTCAGTTACATACAACCTACCTAAACACAACCTCTATATTTCAGGACCTAAGTTACATACAACCTACCTAAACACAACCTGTATATTTCAGGACCTGAGCACCAGTAATCTCCATCTAGGGGACCAGGTGGAAGGATATCTCTTTAAAAGAAACAGCAATGCTTTCAAAAACTATGTTAGGTGAGTGCTACCATTTGCTCATAAAATTTGTACACTGTCAGTCCTCGTCCGTCAGAGAGATAGAGAAGTCTTTGTTGTGATACCTCAACATAGTGGTCAGAATCTTGTCAGAATCATACTTTGTAGCTGTTAGCCCAGGAACTACTAAAGACATACATACCACCATCGCCCCACCCCCAATGTCTTGTGTATACAGGTACATTATCAGTTTGTTGTTATAACAACAGCTCTTATATATTTTTATAAAAAAAGATGATCTGCCATAATGGGTATGTGTCTTGAGCTAGAGAAAGTATTACAGAACTTAAAACACTATCACTCTTTTATACTGAGGTTACAGAAACAGTCAAACACTGCTTTATGGCCATAACCATACTTCTTTTTAAAGATTAGTCATAATGACCAATGTTTGTACCCCAATGACTCCAATATTTCTACCTACTAGAGTCATGAAGACTCCAATATTTCTACCCCCTAGTCATATTTCTACCCCTACAGGCGCTGGTTCTGCATCCAAGAGAGCCAGCTTGTCTACCGCAAGAGAAGCAAGGACACCATGACTGTGATGGAGGACGACCTCAGGCTGTGCACTATACGACAGCCCCCAGACTCAGACAGGAGGTTTTGTTTTGAGGTTCTCTCCCCTACCAGGTGGGTTGCTGGGATTTATATGATGCCAGTTTAAAATTGTTGCTCTTGTATCCAGAGACATTACTTCTTGTATTAACTCAATTGTATTATCTTTATCATTTTTTTAAAAAAATATATATTTCTCTGTTACATACAATATATTTGGTACTTTAGAGCATGTATTTTAGCAATATTGCTGGAATTTCATGTTAATATCAGTTTCTTGACATAGCCCTGTGGCAGTCCCTAGCATTGTCATAAAATAGGAAAACCTGACTTTTTTACTGTAGTGCCCTACATCAATTTTTACAAGGAACATACTTTTTGCTTAAAATGTTTACAAGATGTATTCTACTTTGAGTAAAGTTTCACATTTTAGGTAGTGTTACTCACAACAGAAATTATTTCCAATTGATCTTTGTAATGTGAGCAGAAACAATGAGAATGGTAGATGATGCCACTCAATACTGAAACATTCTAACCTTTTGTTGTTGTTGTCTCCCTTGCCAGGAGTCACATCCTGCAAGCTGATTCAGATACAGAGTGCCAAATGTGGATCAATGCCTTAAACACCAGCATCAGCCGGGCTTATAAGGAGACTCTACACCCTCCAGATAAGTTGGTGAGAACATTTGTTTAATTAGAACACTTTTATTTTTAATTAGTACACTTTTATTTTTAATTAGTACACTTTTATTTTTAATTAGTACACTTTTATTTTTAATTAGTACACTTTTATTTTTAATCAGTACACTTTTATTTGAGACAGCAGAAGTAGAGTTTATCTAAATGGTTGAGCCAATTGAAGCAAATTTATTGCCAGTTTAATGCTCAGCTAAATTTAACATTTAGCCTATGAGTGACTCAGATATATTGTATAAACTGAATCTTTCAGTTATATTTACCTAGTTATTTCCCTTTTCAACAAACTATCCTGATCTCTAGTGAAAAAAGTTCTGAAATTGCTCTGCATTCAATTGTTAAATGATATCTCACAAACACAGACAGGACATGGAACAATGTGTGTATTCTGTAGGCTCAAACTTTTTGTATCTTGTATTTACCAGGAAGACAAAAGAAATTCCAGCAGCTCCTCCAAAGATTCCAGCCAGTCAGAAATACAGCCAGCAGAGCCCAAGCCCAGCAAAGCCAGAGTGTAAGAACTTGTCTGGTCCCATATGTCTTTATTTCATGCTGTGTTAGGATATTGGTCCAGTCTTCTCAATCATCATGTCTTTGTCTCATGCTGTGTTAGGCTATTGGTCCAGTCTTGTCCATCGTGTCTTTGTCTCATGCTGTCTTAGGGTGTAGGTCCAGTCTTGTCCATCATAGTGTCTTTGTCTCATTCTGTGTTAGGTCCATGCTTATATAATACTCGTGTCTCAAAAAACTAGACTCTTCCCTCATACACTTTAAAAGACCCCCCCCCCCCCCCCCCCTTCCACACTTGTATCTTTCTATAGTAATTTGAGTCGTACCTAATTTTTAAGCAAATTTTAATGTAGAAAAAATTATTAAATGTCCATTAAAATTATGTATAAAATGCTAATTTTTAAAATCCCACTGCATTTTACTAAAATGCTCTAGATGTAGTGTATAATGTCTCTGATTCTTGTCCCCCCCCCCCTCCCCAGTCGCATGGAACAGCTGCTTGTTATACCAGGTAACTCCAACTGCTGCGACTGCGGTGCCCCAGAGCCCAGGTGGGCCAGCATCAACCTTGGGATCACACTCTGTATTGAATGTTCTGGAATTCATCGAGGCTTTGGTGTCCATGTATCCAAGGTAATGGTAGTGTTATGGTATGCTGCGCCCAGGTTACACATTGTTAAACCCTCTTGCATTTATTGTAGCTTTGGTATCCACATATCCTATGTAATGTTAGTGTTTTGGTGTGGTGGGCTTAGGTTAAACTATGTTGATTCCTCTGGTATTTATTCTAGCTTTGGTATCCACATATCCTCTGTAATGTTTGTATTTTGGTGTGTTGGGCTTAAGGTAATATAGAATCTTATAAAGATGTTAGTAAAGATCGGGCCTTAGAATGCAGTATCATTTGTCATCTGTTTTAATGTTGTGTTGGAAGCCTGAGTAATGACTTATGTATTGTCTGATAATTAGACTGATATATATATCTGCAACTATTGGACTCTAATTGTATTAAAATAGTATTAACGAATAATTTACTGAATCCTGTGTGAGTTACATGTGACTAGGATGACCTCTGTGGTTGTGACAGGTGCGTTCCCTGACCTTGGACACCTGGGAACCAGAACACCTGAAGGTGATGCTGGAACTGGGCAATAAGGTGGTCAACCACATCTACGAGGCTGAGGTGGACGAGTCAGTGGCTGTTAGAGCAGCGCCGGACAGCAACAGGTATGTTCACAACATTAGTGTTGTAGCTAAGGTATGTTCACAACATTTGTGTTGTAGCTAAGGTATGTTCACAACCTTTGTGTTGTAGCTAAGGTATGACCACAACATTGGTGTTGTAGTTAACTGCTGATTTTTATAGCCCTATTACGATCAGGTACCTATTAGAGCTGGGTTAGCGCAGGGATGTTCTGGAGTAACAAATTTTGCACCTGTAACCCTTAAGTCCATGGTCAAGCATTACACTGTTGAGATACTGTTTTGATAGAAATGCAGTTTTCTAGCTAACTTAGCAGTTGGTTAGAAAAATTATGTTTAAACAATCATTTAAAATCAATCTAATTTCAACATAATAGTTTTGTTAGATTTAAGCTATCACACATTTTTTTACGTGTATCTGTATAAAGAATCAGTATTGACTCATTTCTAATTGTTATTCAAACATTATAAAAAAAATCAGTAGTATTTGCCAGGCAGTCCCTTCCACCAAGTACTGCTGACTATTACTTCATAGGCTGACAACATTTTCTTTGTTTACTTCTTAATGAATTGGTTTTTAAATATTTACCTCTTAATGAATAGCTTTTTAAAAATTTACTTCTAAAATAATTAATTTTTTAAAAATATATTACTTGAATAATTGATTTTTTTTTATAATTTACGACTTAAATAATTGCTTTGTGTAAATTGCTTTTGTTTTTATTTGTGCAGAAGTGTAAGGGAAAACTGGATCCGCGCTAAGTATGTCCAGAAGGCTTTCATCAGGAAACTTCCAGGCGTCAATAAAACCAATGTCTCCAGGAAGTGGAGTGTGAGGAAAAAGACGAGGAAGTCCCCCACCAAGAGTGCCCAGTCCACCTCGTCCAGTTCCAGGGGGGATTCCCTGACGCCATCAGACTCCGAGGAGGTTCCGTCAGAAATTCTGGAAGGTGTTAATTCTAGTAGAGGAGGTGTTTATGCTGCTTTTTGCTTTCCATGTTTTAACCTGCTGCTCTTCATGTCCTGGGTCAAACTACTTTAGAGAGGGTCTCAAGTTTTAGAGTTTGGGGTATGGAGGGTCTTATTTTTGTGGTTTTGGTAGTAGAGTATAGAGTTCTTATCTTTAGATTACATGTGCACGTAGGGTATAGAGGTTATCTTTAAGGTTATATGTGTGAGTACGGTATAGAGGTTATCTTTTAGGTTATATGTGTGTGGGGGGTTCAGAGCTTATCTTTTAGATTATATCTGCTAGTGTGGTATAGAGATTCTTATGTTTTAGATTTATGTGCTAATTGGGTATAGAGGATCTTATCTATGGGTACTAGTGAGGTATCTAGCTTCTTATCATTTAGACCATTGATTTCTCTTTGAGTTTAGTTATTTATACATGTAACCTAAGTAATATATGTGGGTAAAAAATTCTTACTATATTTTTGTTATTCGTATTAAATATTTAATGCTTTATAAAATTTTAAACAGAAACAAAGTTTCCGTAAGAACTTTCTATTTTAAAGCAATTTTTCTACATATTATTTTTTAAAAAGCAGGCAGAATGTTTAGACATGAAGAGATGCACAGTTATTATTAACCTATAACTTGATTTGATGTGTGCTAGCTTAAAATGTATTATCTTCTTAACCAAGATTTTGTTGCAGTTTGTTTCTTATCTGTGGACTTGGTCTAACACTGAGACAAACGTTTATTAAGTTGTCTCCCTTTATATTGTGTCTATCTAATTGACTCCAGTGTTTTCATTGTCTAAATATTGAAGTTTAACCCTCATAGTGTGGTATTAATTTAACTTTAACCCTCATTGTATTGTCTTAACTTTCTTTATATTGCTGCCTCCTATTTAATTTTGATGACTGTCATTATATTATCTTAATCAGTTTAACCTTTTAACTTGGCTTTTAATCTCTTCTCATTTGTTTAACTTGGTAATAACTGTCATGATCTGTTCATTGTTTCTTTGTTTATCCTAATGTTACTCACCACACAATCTTTGTGTCAGTTTGATTTTGTTTTTTCTTTGTATGTAAAGACAGTTGGGCATAGTGCTCACCATACTATCCCTTACTCGCTGAGGCCAGAGATATTGATTAACTCTACTTCTTCTGCCATCTGGTCTGAAAGTGTACTTAACTCTTGTTATAAATGTACTCTAATTTATGTAAATGGAATGTTAGGTCAATGAGTAAATTTCAAATCACTAGTCTTAATGTGTAAGGTTTGTACTCTGATGGATTATTGGTCTTTTGTCTATAAGTTACCACTGAGTCAACTCAGCTGTAATGAGTACCTGTCATGAAAATTAAAAAGTAACGGCTAAATACCCCTTTTAACTTGCCTTATAGAATATTAGGGTACATGTGTTATTCTCCAATGATTGAATGCCTTGTATTGCTAATGTCATAGCTGAGCAACCGGCTTATACATTGCCATTCACACGTATTAGTCAGCCAATGTCACAACATATAATAACTATAATCAGTGTCATAACCTGCTGTCATACAATTTCTCTTTAGCTGCCATATCTGAGTAGACCATGTATCTGAGAATGTCATTATCTTAATATCTAGCATGAGATGTTGTAGTTTTTTCTAGGCGTTATTGTAATACTAGCATGCTATATGATTGAGCCTGATCATTATTGTAAAGCATTGTTGCATCTACACCCCGATGTGGTTTCTGCACTGTACTAACCTTGACCTTTTGTCCATCCTGCCTGACCCTCCCAGCGGTGTTGTCAGTGTCTAACGCAACCATTAAGGAGAGCAGCAGCGCCAGCAGCGGCGTGGAGAGTCTGGCGGACAGCAGCTACGGCCTGGTCTTTGGTGACGAGTGCCCCAGCCCGTTTGTTGCTGGGTTGAACAAGAGTAAGATACTGTGTGAGGGGTGGGGCGGGGGAGGGGGGGGTAGAGAGTCTGGCAGACAGCAGCTACGGCCTGGTCTTTGGTGACGAGTGCCCCAGCCCGTTTGTTGCTGGGTTGAACAAGAGTAAGATACTGTGTGAAGTAAGGGGGGGGGGGGGAGGGAGGGGGGGAGAGAGTCTGGCAGACAGCAGCTACGGCCTGGTCTTTGGTGACGAGTGCCCCAGCCCGTTTGTTGCTGGGTTGAACAAGAGTAAGATACTGTGTGAGGGGCGGGGGAGGGGGGGGGTAGAGAGTCTGGCAGACAGCAGCTACGGCCTGGTCTTTGGTGACGAGTGCCCCAGCCCGTTTGTTGCTGGGTTGAACAAGAGTAAGATACTGTGTGAGGGGTGGGGCGGGGGAGGGGGGGGTAGAGAGTCTGGCAGACAGCAGCTACGGCCTGGTCTTTGGTGACGAGTGCCCCAGCCCATTTGTTGCTGGGTTGAACAAGAGTAAGATACTGTGTGAAGTAAGGGGGGGGGGGGAGGGAGGGGGGGAGAGAGTCTGGCAGACAGCAGCTACGGCCTGGTCTTTGGTGACGAGTGCCCCAGCCCATTTGTTGCTGGGTTGAACAAGAGTAAGATACTGTGTGAAGTAAGGGGGGGGGGGGAGGGAGGGGGGGAGAGAGTCTGGCAGACAGCAGCTACGGCCTGGTCTTTGGTGACGAGTGCCCCAGCCCGTTTGTTGCTGGGTTGAACAAGAGTAAGATACTGTGTGAGAAGGTGGGGAAGGGGGGGGGGATCATAAGAGGTGACACTCATTTAATGTATGGTGAGAGAAAGGGGTCTTCCCCTTGGTATTACCCCATCCCCTTAAGATCAATTACCCTCTGTCAAATACCCCCCCCCCATTGTAAATACTTAACAATGCATATTATATTGGTCCATATCCAACTCCTTGTCCCCCATTCCTAACCCTATCCTTATCTCTACCCCTGATCCAATCATCCTTTGCTCTATCCCTAACCATATCCCTATCCCAAAGTTTATCCCTAAATTATCCTGAACATTTCCCTATCCATCTCATAAAGTCCAGGTGGGGGGTAATGCGCTACTACAGATTGGAGGGGGGTGGGGTATTGTGCTCCCAGGAGAATGATGTATGGAAGAAAGATCTATAAACAAATAAAACCTCGTGGGCTATGGTGTATAAAAAGAAATTCTGTAGTTGAGTTTTTATAGTAACAAAAAGCATCAACAAGATTTTTTTTTAAATCAAAGCACTATAGCTTATAAAAATAACCTTAAAGCAAAGTATACTATAAAAATAGCTACAAAGCAAATCGGACTCTAAAATAAAACACTTAGTAAAATAGCTTATTAAAAATCAAGGAAAGTAAATAACCCCTCAAAATAACCACAAAGCAAAAATGCTAAAGAAAAGTATTACCGAAAGTAAAATAGCCTTCTAAAAATAACCACAGTGCAAATGCAAATGCAGCTAAAATACTCTGGCTACATGCAAATATCTTTAGCTCTCTTGTTCCAACTGAACATATCACTTTAGCATGGAATTGCCTGTTGTATATTACATTTTATTTTATCTTGAATTAACGTAATAGTTGAATTTGTTAACAAACACATTTTTTTCATGTGTTAACCCAGGCCTTGACCTTGAAAGTTCAGACGAGTCACTGCACGAGTACGAAGACGAAGCCCCTGGGACGGAAGCCAGCAAAGACGAGCCAGGGAGTGACGGAGACGAGAACACCACCTCGTGGGAGGACATGAGCAAGCTGGACCCCAACCTGCTGCTGTACAAGGCTAGCGGGGCCCGCAACCTGCCTGTCATGATGGAGGCCTTGTCCAACAAGGCTGACCCCAACTGGGTGAACCTGGACGACGAGGGGAAGACTCCCATCATGAAAGCTGTGCAGACGGTGAGTTTACTTGGGTGCTAGGTGGTGTTGATGTTGTTTTGGTTTAACCTAACCATTTGGGTGGCACTTGTTATTGATGTTAAACCTAACCCCAAGGGTGTCACTTGTTACTGATGTTAACCCAACCATTTGGGTGTCACTTGTTATTGATGTTAAACCTAACCCCAAGGGTGTCACTTGTTACTGATGTTAACCTAACCATTTGGGTGTCATGTATTATTGATGTTAAACCTAACTTTAAGGGTGTCACTTGTTATTAGTGACCTACCCCCACCCCTTCTCTGTCGTTGTTGTTCACCAATAGGCCCTCACTTTTTACTGTGTTGAATTGATTTGATGAATCCCACTTTTTGATATATCAATTGACCCCATGAAGCCCACTTTTTGACATGTGAATTGACCCCATGAAGCCCACTTTTTGATATATCAATTGACCCCATGAAGCCCACTTTTTGACATATGCATTGTCCCCATGAAGCCCTCTTTTTGATATATTGAATTGACCCCATGAAGCCCACTTTTTGATATATTGAATGGAACCCATTAAGCCCACCTTTTGATATATTGAAATGAACCCATGAAGCCCACTTTTTGATATATTGAATTGACCCCATGAAGCCCCCATTGATGCTGACCATATATGTCCACAGGGCTCGCTGGCAACTTGTGAGTTTTTACTGCTGAACAACGGCAAGCTGGACCGTAAGGATAAACATGGGCGTACAGCCCTGCACCATGCAACAATTTTAGGGCACACTGGGTATGTACACTTTACATATAACTGTAGAATAGAATTTGGCCATTTAACACCATTCAACAATTCTAGGGCAAACTGGGTATGGACATGTTACATGTAACTGTAGATTATAATGTGGCCATTTAACACCATGCAACAATCCTAGGTCACACTGGTTATGTACACGTTACATATAAATGTAGAATAGAATATGGCCTTTTAACACCATTCAACAATTCTAGGCCACACTGGGTATGTACACGTTACATATAAATGTAGAATAGAATATGGCCTTTTAACACCATTCAACAATTCTAGGCCACACTGGGTATGTACACTTTACATATAACTGTAGAATAGAATGTGGCCATTTAACACCATTCAACAATTCTAGGCCACACTGGGTATGTACACTTTACATGTAACTGTAGAATAGAATTTGGCCTTTTAACATTTAAATAGATTTACACGTGAAATTATATTTCCTTTCTGTACACACTCAATTGTTGTATTGAATTTTAACCACTGTTATTAACTCTTATAGTTTTCTTTTGAAATTTTATTAACACAATATCTGCGCATAAATAGCTGATTCATTTTTTCTTCAATACATGCCCATATTTCTCTCCCTCCTCAGCCAAGTCTGCCAGTTCCTCAAAAGGCGAGCTGATCACAATACTAAAGATAATTTTGGGAAGGTAAGATTTTACTAAATTTTATTGAACATTTTTTTTTCGTTTCCTCAGTAGCAGTTTTATAAATTTATGAAACTGGAAAGATGACCTATTAATAAGAAAATAATATTATTTGACACAATCAATTTTATTTTGATAGACGCCATTGATGATTGCTGTAGAGAGTGCAAATGCTGATATTGTTACATTGTAAGTACAAGGTTAATCTTGTTGGGTTTGTTTTTTTTTTAATTTAAAATAAGTAAAGATATATGTAGATATTAAATTTGTTGTTTTATTTTTTCATCTGGAAATATGAAAATTTACATGGTTAATCATTTAATTATTTTTATGGGTATAAGTCTATGAAACTGCCTGTAATAGTTAAAAGGAAATATTATCTTGCTATCTATGTTAAAACTTATGTAAACTTTTTTTAATTTTAAGAGTAGCCTCCCCTATGTGTAAGGAGTAACTAAAAAATGAGTTAGTAAAGTTTCCCTTTCAAATCTAACGGTCTATAGGGCAAGTGAAGTAGTTCACTTGTTTCTGTACTTCGGCATATGTGTGTTCAACATTATGCCCAGCCGTCTTTACTTTCCCTAACGTGAGTTAGGTACCCATCAGAGTTGGGTGGTCTCAGGGACGGTCTACTGACTCGAACCCGGATTCAAACTCAAGACTTACAGGTTAGCAGTCCAGCTCTCCACCACTAGACCACTGCGTCACCCAAAAAAAATGAGTTGGCTCTTCTAAAATGTGTCCATCCACCATTTTTACTTTCTCGTATATACGTAGTATAGAGAAAGTATTGTAATCGTGCAAAAAAAAAAATCGAGATTTTTACAAATCTCGACGTTTTACACCTCACTGATACGGAAAAACATAATTTTGCAATCTTGTCCGTATGTCTGTGTGTGTGTGTGTCTGTCTGTGTGTGTGTCTGTCCGTGTGTAAACACGATAACTTGAGTACCGTTACAGCTAGGTTGATGAAATTTCATATATAAGTATTTTATCAAAATCGTAGATCCGTATCAACTTTTGAGCGATTTCCGATAACCGGAAGTGGTACTTTTCCTACTTTGAATTTTTTAAAAGCCTATAACTTGAGTACTATTTCAGATAGATAAATGAAATTTCACATGTAAGTAAAAGATCTAATTCTCTACCTTCTGTTAAATTTTGAGTAATTTCCGTTGACAGGAAGTAGTAATTTACGCTACTTCCGATTTCTCAAAAAACTAATGTAAATTTTAAAAGTACTAATAATATTGCGCACTATTATGCGCTTTTTTATTTCGCGTTCACTTGGTGTGCAATTAATTTGTCTACGAGATTTTATTCTATTTTTAAAACTTTAAGTATTTAAAATGGATTAAAAATCATGTCTATAGCCCGAGTTCCCATCCCCTGTTATTTTATATAAGAATATTCGAGAAAGTTTAGGGGAGATCACTCCCGGTTTATTAAAGCTTATGAAACATACACTTACAAGAGTACAATCTTTTAACAAAAAACTTCACAAGATTACCTAATTTCAACAATTTAAAAATAAATAAAATCTGAAGTTTGCACAGCTAGTTTTATAAGTGGACTCCTCACTCTACAAGTTTGCCTTTTGTCTGAAATAAGGAATTATTATAATGTTACACTGTTGTTTTTTTTTTGTTGGCAGGCTAAGGCTTGCAAAACTAAATGATGAAATGAAAGAGTCAGAAGGCTATTCAGGAAATCCAGGTAAACATGTTTGTTTTATTCACCTGCTGCATGCTACTGTCTTTTTGACCAGCGGTTCTCAAAGTGTGGAAATAGACTATGAGAGTATCACAAAATTAATATTAACACTAACAAAAAAAAAAAGTATTTTTAAATTCAGACTCTTTCCATTTTACTTGTAACATATATCTAGGGTAGCCAAAATACTTGCATTTATAAAAAAAATGTTTACAAATGAAATGATTTTGAGAATCCCTGATCTACATATTTTCTGTAGTGGGGTAAATGCTAAACAACCAAGTGGCAAAAAAAAAAAAAAAGAATTGTATAATACACATCCTGTTCATCATCACTAATGCATGATTAACCCTAGCTATGCTATTCAGTCTCTATAGTCACTGTTTCTTTAGCCTTATCTGCTTTTGTTTTTTTACTTCATGTGAAAAGAACAGATTCTATACCCTCGTCAGTTATCCCCATCCCTTGTTCTCCCCATCCCTCGTTATCCCCACCCTTGTTCTCCCCATCCCTTGTTCTCCCCCATCCTTCATTCTCCCGATCCCTTGTTCTCCCCACCCCTTGTTCTCCCCACCCCTGGTTCTCCCCATCCCTTGTTCTCTCCATCCCTTGTTCTCCCCACCCCTTGTTCTCCCCATCCTTCATTCTCCCCACCCCTTGTTCTCCCCATCCCTTGTTCTCCCCACCCCTTGTTCTCCCCACCCCTTGTTCTCCCCATCCTTCATTCTCCCCACCCCTTGTTCTGCCCATCCCTTGTTCTCCCCATCCCTTGTTCTCCCCACCCCTTGTTCTCCCCATCCCTTGTTCTCCCCACCCCTTGTTCTCCCCCATCCTTCATTCTCCCCATCCCTTGTTCTCCCCATCCCTTGTTCTCCCCACCCCTTGTTCTCCACACCCCTTGTTATCCCCACCCCTTGTTCTCCCCACCCCTAATGTTTTTGTTCTCCTGTGTGTACACCAGGTGATGAAACTTTTCAAGACGTCTTTAGAGACTTCACCAACATGGCATCCAACAACCCAGAGAAGTTGAAGCGTAAATAAGTTGTTGGATGTTGTACAGAGAGAGACATACAATTGCTGAGGGTGGTGTACTTTGTTGGATGTTGTACAGAGAGAGACATACAATTGCTGAGGGTGGTGTACTTTGTTGGATGTTGTACAGAGAGAAACATACAACTGCTGAGGGTGGTGTACTTTGTTGGATGACAGCAGCAACCACTCAAGTTGTGTGCTGGCTGGCTTGCTGGGCCACAGTTGCTGGTGTTGGATGGACAGCTTTAGATTTGTTAACATGTTGGGTAGACAGCACAAGATGCTGAAGGTTTTTGTTGGACAGACAGCATTGGCTATTTTATTTGTTTGGATGGGTTAATTTACTAAGGTGTTTTCTGAATCGACAGTAATTATCGTGCTAAATAGACAGCAATTATGGTATTGGATGGATAGCATTTACGGTGTTGAATGGACAGCATTTACGCATCAGGTACTGTTTTTTTGTGTGTTTGTCAGATGGCAGTATCTAAGCAGACACAGTGTGCCTGTTGTATCAGCCACGGACCTGTCCTGGGCTATGTTGTTTGGTGATATCGCTTTTGTTTCTGTGATTTTTATTATTCCTTTTGAATGGCTATTTTTATGTGACCAGTGGTGTGATTTATTTTTTTCTTCAGTACAGAATTTGATGCGTAATAATTTTTTTAGCAGACGCACCACTTACTATTTTACTCACCATGTTATGTAGAGGGTACACCCCATTTGTACACAGACATAATTCCCACTTACACACTGTTTAATATGAACCAATTTTTGGTGTAAAATTTTCATTTTCACCTTTCATCGAACAAAGAATAATAATTGTTACATTTAAGAAAAAAACCTATGAACATTTAAAAGTTATCCAGCAGTGAATTGCTTGTTTGTTTAAATTATGCAAATTATACATGTTCATAAACGTGTAGGTTTTTTCTTTATGTAATATGCTATACCCTACTATTTTAATGTATTGGGTTAAACACACATCTAGTTCCCAATGGAAACATAGTACTACATGCATCTTTTGTTTTGTTAGTTGAGGCAACATAATACCCTACTATTTTAATGTATTGGGTTATACACACATCTAGTTCCCAATGGAAACATTGTACTACATGAATCATTTGTTTTGTTAGTTGAGGCAACATAATACCCTACTATTTTAATGTATTGGGTTACACACACATCTAGTTCCCAATGGAAACATTGTACTACATGAATCATTTGTTTTGTTAGTTGAGGCAACATAATACCCTACTATTTTAATGTATTGGGTTATACACACATCTAGTTCCCAATGGAAACATTGTACTACATGCATCTTTTGTTTTGTTAGTTGAGGCAACATAATACCCTACTATTTTAATGTATTGGGTTATACACACATCTAGTTCCCAATGGAAACATTGTACTACATGCATCTTTTGTTTTGTTAGTTGAGGCAACATTTTTCATGTCTTGTGAGAGGCCTGCTTTATTTTCTAAACGGGCTGGTCTTCTGCCCACATGAGATAAAAATATACTTGCGTGAATTAACAGAAATGTTGGCACCACAGAACTTGAGATCACTTGCCATATGAAGGCTGATGCCAGTAATTATGTTTTGTTAAGCAAGAATTGATTGACATTCTGTTAAACTAATTAAGTTCTATTTTCAACCAGCACATTTTGATACATGGTTTTCATCTGAGACATGTTGACATGAGCAAAAGTGACAAAATTAAAAATGACTCTTTACAAGCTTTTTGAGAACAAATTCTAAAAAAAAAAAATGTTTTATTGTGTTAAAGGTAATTACTTCTTTAGAAAAAGTTTCATTGAAGCTTGAAATAATTTCTTGGCTGTGTTTTCCTTTCTTACTATAGAAATGGAAATGTTGTTTTTTTTAAATTGGCCTTAATTAACAATAAATAAATAAGGCATTTTATTGCAAAGCTAATTCAAAATGTGGACTAAAGTTCTTTGAACAAAAGCCTAATTTCTTGGCCTACAAAAACTGTTTGTTTGATTTCCTTGTTTTTGCTTTCCTTTTTTAATTAATTTTTTACTCTGGTTCTTAGCGTAGACTTGTATGCTAAATAATAGTCAATATGTTGCCTATTTTATAATGTTTGCATATTAGAGGCATTACCTGTCAAGGCATTCTATGTATTTAAACACATACACAACTGAATACATACAATTAATTAAATGAATTTGTGAACGATAAAAAATTTTTAGTAAGTTTTAAAATTTTGATTGGGAAATTTCTTTGTACACCAGTCAAAAATGTTCAGCTTACATTTGTAGTTTGTCCATTGTTTACTGTTAAGTGTCATTAAGAAAATTGTGATTCCCTGAATAGAGATGGCATAACCTGTTGATAGACCACCATACTAAAACAAGCTAGCCACCATTGTGTCTTACATAGCTTGCTACATGTACATGCAGAGGTATGGCTGAAGAGACACAGTTCATTGTAAAATACACTACACATATTTTTAAAATGCTTTCCATAATATACATTTTTTCTATTCAAATTTTTTTTTACCTATTTCACTCATGATGAACTTAATTATTAATTAAAACAATTTTTATGATCATCATGCTTAATTAGTTGAATCAATATCTCTATATAGTACCAGGCACCTAATTTAAAGAAATTTCCAAGTTTTCGCAATGAGTACAACTGAAATAATTTTACAGAATTATGTTTTTAATATAATTGTTAGCAAAATGTTGGCAATCTATTCTTAAACATACTTAAATATATTTTTTTTAAATAATAGTTATTCTAATTGTCATAGCTGTTTTGATTTCGATACAAGATTTTATTATTTCTGATCAAGTACGATTGACATACCAAATAGTGACTTGCCCATTGAAAATATCCTAAAACAGACTTGTCATTAAAATGGGCTGTTGAAAGCAATAACTAATGTCTAGTGTAGTACCTATGCAATCTTAACTTATATCAAGCAAACGTCTAAATCATCATTGACAAATAAAATAGAGCTTCTCGTGATGAAGTTTTCGTCTTCACCTTATTCCAGTATAATTTGAGTACAGTTAAATTACCCTCCTTTCCTCAACGTATCATTTTCTCCACATTTCTTTTGTAAAGCTTGAGGAATATTTTAATTTCAAATTTATGTTGTGCCTAATTTATGAAACTTCCTTCTTGATACCAAACTTTCTAAACTGCTAGAACTGCCAAAAAAAAAAAAATATCCGACTTGTAAATTAAGTCAATATTTATCCAGAGTTTTTAGATTTGTTATTTGGGTATTCCTTAAGTAATGTGATTAGCCTTTATTATAAATGTGTACATTTTTTTTTTCAAATATTCATTCCTATTTCATAACACATACAACTGTACATATTATTGCTTGTATATATGAATGTATGCATACAAATATAAATAATGTTGTTTTTTTGTTACAATGCTTTCTATTTCGCTTTGGTCTAGTCAGTCATGTCTTAGCATAGTTTGCATGAAATTCATTCTGCATAACAGTTGATGCTACTGGAATTAATTTACTGTAATATTATCGAAGCACTGAGCAATTATATTGCGCTAAGTTACTTAAGTATCTGTCCTTGATTTATGAACAAATAATTTTTAAGTCTTTATTTTTCTGTACTTACTATTGATAAAGTTCTATACTTAAAAAATCACATGATTTAAAAATAAATAAATGGTTTGGTTTAAGATTATATTAATTACCGGTTGTTTAAATAAAAAAATGTATACAACAATAGCTGGCTATTATCTTGACAGTATTACATTGTTGGATAAGTCATTCTATACAGTGTCAGATCTCTGGAGATATCTATTGATAATGGAAATGTTTTAAAGCTCAATATGACAGAGCTCAAAAAATATATTTTGTACAATGTGTGACTGTCTGACTCAAGATTTGAACCTGCGAACCCTAGGGCTGGGAGTCAGGCTCTATACAGCTTTGACCACCAAACGTTGCCCCATGTCGTGGTGAACAACTCAGAGGCTAGCAAGTTCTTGTCAGTACCTGACATGACATGGATGGAAATTTAAAGACTTCCAGGCAACGTGCTTGGAATCTGATTTCTCTCTGTCATCTCAGTAAGAACATTTAAACTCTACTGCATCTACCTATGCACAGGTATGTGCATCATGAATTCCAAACAAATTTTAACGAAGCCTCTCAACAAATGTACTCTAATTTTTTAAATATTTTATTTTGTATCAGTTTATTTTGAGCTTCAAGTTTATTTGTTGATAGATATTTATGAAAACAAAAGAGTTTTTATTTTTGTTTTATTGAGAACCTGCTTCAACTAATTAATATGGATGTTATTTACTTTTTCCTTAATTAAGCACAAACTAAATATAAATTGTATTTTTAATTTTGTGTTAAAAGTTGATGGAAACGATCACTTTTAGCATTTGTTTTTGTTTAATAATTCAATTTTCTTTTAACCTCAATAATTTTTTTTGGTTAATTTGTTTAACTATTGCCATTACATTTTTTGTAATTGGAAACTTAATCATTGCTTCATTTTTTTATTTTTTTGCATCAGTAAAAATTGTACAAAACTTATGCATGACCACTTAAATGAATAGAAATCTTGAAGAAAACACATGAATCAGCTGTAGTTGTGCTAAAATACTTGACCATCACTGCGGAACAAAGTCATGTCAATAATTGATCTTTTATTTTTTTAATGTAAAGTTTTCCATACACCCGATTGGCTGTGTCTATGTAATGTTTGTTAGCAACATACCGATTGGCTAAATATTTCCATGTAGATTTCTGATTGGCTGCTTTTTTGGTGTTATTCCTTTGCAGAGTGCTGATTGGCTGTTTAATATCTTAGTAGAGTGGAGCTTAACGTGTTGGCTGATGCTTATTGGTCAATTTGCCTTTACATAAAAATTTCATCTCACTCTTTCATCTACCTGTAACACTTTTTATTATTAAAAAAACCAATGAAAGCTTGGCCTTATATTTCAGCTGTATAAATCTTCTTCTTTAGAGCCTTATAAACCTGTTTGGATGTAGTGTCAGCTTCTTGCATGCTCCATGTTTAATTAGAACCCCCTCACCTTTATGTCAGTTTTGTTTTTTGGATATGTGGTAATAAATACTGACAGATTTTTCTGATTTTATGTGAAAAACATAAGGTTAATTTTTTTAAAAAAGATTGTATTGTCTGAAAAAAAATGGTGAAATGTCAAAGAGACGAGATGTCATGTGTGTATGAAGGATAATGTCAGTGTGATGGTAATGTTAAATGACATTTGTACAATAGGCTAAATGTCAAGCATATGGGAAACTTAAATGTCATGTTCGGATTGTGATCTAATATCAGTTCCACCTGTGAAGAACTAAATATAAGATTGTCTTGTGTCTAGAACAGGGGCATCAACATGCTAGAGAAAAATGTCTCTGTTTTAGTTTAACTGGTGTGGGGTGTGGAAGTCCTAGTGTGTGTTCATAAAACACTGATATACATAAAAACATTTGTGGTTGTACATGAAAAAAATTGTGTACACAATTTTGTTTTATATGTACACATAGGATTGGCACAGCTGCTTCTTATCATATGTATGACATAGCTGCATTCTGATCACACTGATGTCAAGTGTCATACGCTGGATCTGACATGTGCTATACTTAGTCTTATATGTCATGTGTCATTTCATACTTTCCTTTGTGTGTGTGTTTTGACATGTCCCATGATAGGTCAGACAGGACAAGGCTTGAGTCTTGTGTTCAGACATAACGTACATCCAGCCGTAGCTCGTACAATGGGGACAACAATGTCAGTGTGACGAATGTGACATTTAGATCCAACCTTGTTCACAATGTCAGGCACGGCAATGTCAGGCACATGTCAGTTATGTCATGTACAAGACAGCAATGTTGCACACACATGTGATGTACAGCAGTACCCACACATTTATTTTTTTATTATAAAAACAAAATTGGAGTTTCTGTTTGATTGTGTGTATGTATGTATGTCATCATAGGTCTTTTTAAAATAAATATAAATATATTACTTAACCAGTTTTTTTTTTATATATACTTTATTTAATTGTATGTATATTTATTGACATTTCTTATTATTTTATGTTTTCACAAATTATACAATGAATTAAGAAAAAACATGAGTTTACTATTTACCAACTCATCGCTAATAAATAATGGCTTGTGTAAATTAATAGTTCTGGAGATGATAAAAAAAATAATGATGGTTTGTGTAAGATAATAGTTCTCTAACTAGTAAAAAAAAAAAACAACTATGGTTTGTGTAAGTAAATAGTTCTGTAGTTGGTAAAAAAAAAGGCTTGTGTTCTCTAGTAGGTAAAAAAAAACATGGTTTGTGTAAATAGTTCTGTAGTTGGTAAAAAATAAAAAAAATAAAAACTTTGGTTTGTGTAAGATAATAATTCTCTAGCTGGTAGGGGTGGGGGGGGGGGAGAACATCCGGTGCCAATATAGAAAACACCACTACAAACCAGATGACAAGAGTTCTATTTATAAACAAGAATATGTTTTGTTTGTTTCGTAGTGCTGCAACGGAAAGGAAGTTAGTGTTTTTAATGAAGCCTACACAACAAGTTTGCTAGTGGTGGTTTCAGTCATTCAACAAACTGCTCCAGGTAGAAGGGCCTTCACTGGCAGGTAAATGGAATCGTCAAAGAACCGTTGTCAGGATTCACCTCTGATGTGCGCCTGCATCTCTGTCCCCTGGGGCACTTACATCTGAGGGGGGAGATGAGGATGAGTTAGTGGGGGTGAGTCTGATTTCAACTCATAGTGTCGTATGTAAAACATTCATTTAGAGTCGTATTAAAGATACAAAACAAAAACTTGACATTCGTCTGATTTCAACTCACAGTATTCTATGTAAAAAATTCATTAAGAATCATACACATGTAATAAAAGATACAAAACAAACACTGGACATTCGTCTTGTTTTTTATCGATACCCCTACAATAGCGTAGAAAAGATAGTACATAAGCCGCGTATTGAAGACATAATCCATCATAGAAAATCCACCCTGCTCTAAAAAAACGACGCTCAAGTAGCCAGACATGCCCTATACTTAGAGTCCCCCAGAGAGTCAGGTCCAAAAAATAAAAAAAAAAAAAACTAGAGATGTGACATTGGAGAATGACACAAGAAATGTGGGCTACTACGGAGGTTCACACTTAAGTGTACATACGCCCTAGTGACGCCACTGATCCCATATATAACATTTCTTTACACCCCCCCCCCCCCCCCCCCCCCAGTGCATGATCTTTTTATAAAACTCGAATCTAGTCTTAGAAAACTAAGCCGAGAATTGGTTCAGGAAAAGACCAGTCTCTTGAGGTGGTGTTGATGAGTATTTAATTGGTCTGACGTCAGTACTCACCCTGAGCTGACGAACGAGCAGTTGTCCACGCTGACGATGAGACTCTGCGACCAGCTGCAGACGGCCCAGACACACGGCGTGTTCCTGGCACACATCCTTGACCTTTCTAAACTTCGAGACGGCCGGAAAACGGGCTGAAACGAAAAGAATAACAAATATAACAATTTATAGGGCTGTCATTTGTTTCAAAATTTGAGAAATAGGCCCCTACGTGTGATGTAGCGCTATCAAGCTTTACAAAAGTATGGGAAATAAATAATTATAACGCCGTCACTGGTTACAAAACTCTGACTAAAATGAAACTACTGTCACAAGCATTTCCTTTACTTCCACCATCATGGAAAAACAAAAAGTCGGAGTATGTGGTTTAATCAGAGAGAAATATTTTTACAGGGAAGCGAGACTAGCTGGGAAGAAGAGGCGCGAATTTTTAAGGGTGTTTATAAATTGACCCTTAGTTCAGTATAGGGGATTTTTAATTAATTAAATGACTTTTGGTAGAGTAGTTTAACGCAAAGAAAGTTTTGGTTTGCTCTAAGCAAGTGCGTTTTCGGTGTTTTTTTCAGACATCTTTCTCCGGGGAAGAAGGGACAATTGAAACTTCCGAAAAGGGGGGTGGGGGGAACGACGACACACACTGCTAAAAGCATGTATTTTCTATATAAATTCCATTTCGTTCGGGACGGTGGACGTGGTTTTGGGAAGCGGGTGCCCCCTCCACCATCAAGAGATGGTTGAAAGAAACCGTGGGTGCGATTAAGAGTTAATTTCGAAGGGGTGGTTTGGTAGATGAAGTTAATTTTTGTGTGTACGGTGGTTTTGAGTTTTACTTGAGTGTTGTGTGAGTGACGTTTGAAATTAACGATGTTCTGTCGAGCAGTTTCTCACGAGAATATCATCGGAACCAAATTTCCGAAAACATTGATCGCTACAACCGCAGATGGGAGTTTTCTAAACGTCACGTAGTCTTTATAAAAAGTAAAGTTCCCTTTCAAATCTGACGATCTAAGTGAAGTAGAGTTCACGTCAGAGGCGTAGTGACGGGGGGGGGGGGGGTACATGTGTTGAAAAAATTAAAAGCTCATTTTAGCTACAGTTTTGAATTATAATTATAAAAAAATATATGAGGGTGGGGCGCCAAATTGAAAGTTTTTCCCCGGGCGCCGGGAGGGGTAGTTACGCCTCTGGTTCACGTGTTTCTGTGACCTCGGAATATCAAGGGATAGTGTGGTCAGCACTATTCTCATCTACCTCTAGTTTATCTAACGTGAGTTAGCTACCCATCATAGGTGGGTGGAGCAAGGTTTCGAACTCGAGACTTTTAGCCTAGCAGTCGTATGCTCTACCATTCGAATACGCATTCCCACATAGTCTTTATAGCTTTGATAATTTACACCAAAAATCACAAGGTTTTATGTCTATGGACACACACGAATGTTAAACGACTTATAACAATAATATAATCTCAGCGTCTAGATAGGTCGACACCCTCGTGTGTGTTGGCACGTGGGAGCTTAGAGCTTATGTTGCAAGCTGCAGTTTAAATAGAATTCAATTATTCTTATTTCAATGGCAGGAAAATGTTTAGCATGTTTTTTTGAGAAAATTCAATCTATTTTGTTAGAAATATCATCCGGTGATATCAAATTCAATTTAATTATTTATTTACATGAATAGATTTCCCCTTTCCCCATGCTTTTATTAGATGGCACCATCCTTCCATAATGCTTTTATTATATGGCGCCTTCCCCTCTTCCACCCCCCCCCCCCCCCTACGTTTGTATCAGATAACGGTTAGGGAAGCGATTATGAAATGAACCATACGAAGCAAGTGCAAAAGCTAGCCGACCGCGTTTTGTATGGTTTCTTTAAAGCCTCGTTATCCTGTTTTGGGAATTAAATGGGTTAATTTGTGTGAGGTCGGACCGAAAAGGATGGATTAAAGGGGTGAACCTCGTTGATTATCACCGTTAATCCTGTACGTATGGCTTGAATGGATAGTTTTTGGGACACAACCGGGCCATTGCGGACTAGTAGATGGTTATCCTGACGACGGTACACTTAGCGACCCAATCAGTGTTTTTTCCAGACTTTTCTCAGGGGGGGGGGTAAATGTATATGATTTCTGTATAAATTCCATAACGTTGGGAGGGGAGGGGGGCAAATAACCCCTCCACCTCCCGAAGAGATGCCTGGAAGAAACTCTGGACCCAATACTTATGTGTTGTTAAATCAGCTGGGTTAACTATTTGAGTATTAGTTGTGGATTTTTCTTCTATTGCTTGTTTCCGAATAATTTCTTCTTTACATGCCTCAGTGTGTAAACCTTTAAACAAAATTAATCATACCATTTAAGACCTAATGTTCAATGGGGCAAATAAAGTAAAGTTTAGAATACGAATATCTTTTTTTTTATTATCTATTTTGGGCGGCTTGTGCTTGGGGGGAGGGAAGGGGGTATCACTAAATTAGTAGTTAGCTTTTGTCTAATTATTGACAATCACCAGCAATCCAATATTTGACGTTGACTACGTTAAGATATGAACTAATTATTTTATTATCTAATTACCCTATTTTAATCACTATGATAAAAAAAATACGATTCAGAAGTCCACCTAACTCTAAAACAACAGCTCTTTACACAACAACATTATCTGATCAATTTATCGTTTCTCGGTTACCATTGGGCTGGTTTATTTAGTGAGACAAAATTAGGTTAATTGGTTAATTATTCGTCAAATCACCTTGTATAAAAACTCACACTAAAACATGTTTGTTTAATCTATTTGACGCCAGTATGATCTTCGCCCAGTTATTTATAAAAAGCTCACTCCTTCTACCTAAAGATTGGCACTAGATTTGTACTACTTGTTTATTAGCAGAATAGTTCGAGATATTTTGAGCGTTTAATTAATTCCTGGCGTTTATCCTGTTAACCTCCGTTTGCTTGACGTAAGTAAATATAGTCCGGAGACTCTTGAACAGTAAATATAGTCTTGAACAGTAAATATAGTCCGATAAATTAAATATAATATTGAACAGTAAATAAAGTCTTGAACAGTAAATATATTCATGATCAGTAAATATATGCATGATCAGTAAATATGTTCATGAACAGTAAATATAGTCTTGAACTAGAAATAGATCAGTATCAAACGATTTCAAAGATGGCGGCCTTTAAATCTCGCGAGTAGACTTAACAAGGGAGACGATGTTGATTTGAACATCTGTGATCTTATTTTAATCCGATTAGGAGGGAAACCTTGTCGTCTGTGTTATGTAGGTCAGCACGCCAGGAATTGGTCATTGGACGATACTACAAAAACTGGTATAAATGATCGGATACTAAATAAAGACGAGTGGGGGGGGGGGTGTCAAAACTTATTTGATCAGTAAGTTTCATTACGATTTAGAGGGGGGGGGGGTCATCTATTTATGACTCCCACGTAGAGAGGGGATAACGTGGTCGAATGGTAAAGCGTTCTACTGCTAAAAGTCTCGAGTTCGGTCTCGTCACAGGTTCCTGAGTCCACCCAGCCCTGATGGGTACCTGACTCATGTTAGGGAAGGTAAAGACGGCTGGGCATAGTGCTGACCAGTGTTTCTTCCAGACTTTTTTCTCCGGGGGGGGGGGGGGCACTTGAAATTTTCGTTGGGGGCGGTAGACTTTCTTCGGGGGGAGAGGGGCGGACACTGTTAAAAGTATATATTTTCTATATAAATTATATAAATTTCATTTCGTTCGGAAGAAACTCTGATGCTGACCACATTCAGAGTTTCTTCCAGGCATCTCTTCGGGGGGGGGGGGGGGGGCGAAGCACCCCCGAAAATTTTTTACCGCCCCCCCGAAGAAAGTTCACCGCCCCCCCCGAAAATTTCAAGTGCCCCCCCCCCCCCCCCCCCCGGAGAAAAAAGTCTGGAAGAAACACTGAACACATTACCCCTTCGTATGTTGAGATCACAGAACGTGAACTCAAGGTCAGAGTGCGTCGACGGCTGGGTAACTCATTATCCCTCTGGTAACGATTTTACCAGTTTTATTAAACTGAAAGCCTAGCGACCGGTACATAATACATAGTATAGTTTCTTTGATTTATTTTTCTGATGCAAACCTCTGCGATGACAATGCAAGAATATATAATTTTAAAACTAATTTATCAGTTAGGATATTCAGGAAAAAATTAATTTAGAAAATTACTTAATTCAATAATCGGCCTTTTGGATGTCGGCCTTTTGTCCTACGCCCAATAAAAGGGGTGATAACAAGATTGACAACTTGCAACCGCTCGATTAGCTGGCGGTCAAATTTGAACTGTTTGTCGTGGCTGGTTGATTTCTTGTCACAGCGTCGACCAGAGTTTCTTCCAGGCATCTCTTCGGGGGGGCGAAGCCCCCCCCCCCCCCCCCCGAAAATTTTTTACCGCCCCCCCCCCCCCCACCCCCCGAACGAAATGAATTTTATATAATTTATATAGAAAATATATACTTTTAACAGTGTCCGCCCCCCGAAGAAAGTTTACCGCCCCCCCCCCCCCCCCCCCCGAAGATTTCAAGTGCACCCCCGGAGAAAAAAGTCTGGAAGAAACACTGGCGTCGACCGCGAACTAAGAAGGGGCAGATAACTGTCTTTTAGAGACGTCAAGCTACTGGTCAGATTTTAACGCGCATATTTTTAGTTGTAGCCTGTATATCTTCGATTTCATTTAAAACAAATTGTTAAAAAGTGGAAAATAAAAAAGTATATAAAAACAAGCTTTTAATTAATGCAATGAAAACAAGAAAACTGGCTTTGTTTAAAAAAAGCTTGAGCCGCTAAAATATGAAACAGATCTCACGAAGACAAAAGATTTTATTTAAAGAACGCGAATTTGTTTGATTTCCTTATTTTCAGTTCATTAAAAAGCTTATAATTAAAAAGGTTTTTACATTTGTTTTATTAATATATTTTTATATTTGTTTTATTAATATATTTTTACATTTGTTTTATTAATATATTTTTACATTAGTTTTATCAACATATTTTTACAATTATTTTACTAATATATTTGACTCACCCTGCTAGGCGTGGAGATGATGTAGGCTTGAGCAACTAGCATGAAGGCACAGACGAGAGCGAGCCTGTGGGTCAGGACACAACCGTGGGACATCTTTGGCTCCTGGGTCGGGGAACTTGACACTCACAGCCTTGGGTGATGAAACAACTTCTTGAGAAGTCTTGCTTGAGCGAACAACTTTGGCTTTTTCACGAAACGAAAAAAAAACTGGAGGAATTTTTCTTTTCTAAACTTGTTGAATTAATCAAAAATGTATTTTGGCTTTGTTTTATATTATATTTTTTTTTTTAAATTCAACAATGTGGCTATCTTTTTATTGAAAATTATTTTCAAAACACTTTTAAATATTTTTAATAGTCAGTTTCTGTCTTCTAATTTTAAATTTGTTTATTTTAAAATTTCTTGATCTTTGTTTTCGAACTTGTTCGTTTTTAGCTAGCGAGAGATAAATCGCCGTCGTCCGTTCAGTTCATGGTATCCACACTCCGTCCTTCCCACCCACCTACACGTTTATATAGCATCCACCCTGCTAGCCCGTCCCTCACGGCATCGGATCACCACCAACATAGCCGCCATTAGTGACGTCACTCGCTGAGGGATTTTTTTTTTCTTTCTCGCTTCCTCTCGCGTATTAATCTAGGTGTGAGATGGCAGAGAGATTCGTGGAGCTGGGCGTATAAAAAAAATATGAACACAAACATATTTTTGATGGCTGTTGTATTTTTGTTTTTGACTAGATATTTTTTTAAAATATCCGCCTACACAAATAAAAATTCAATCTGAAAATATTTTACATAAACTGCCAATCGTGTCGTTTTTTTTTCTAATTGCAACTAAATGCATTGGATTAATTATTTAAGCTGCTATCAAATCTAAATTAAAGTGGAGACATTAAAAATAACTTAAGCTGTCTTAATTAAGTCATCAAATAAATTAGCAGTCCACTACATTTTAGATAACCTTGAGATATGATCTGATAACAAGATCTAAAATTTATAATTTGGAGATATGGGCGCTAGAGAGAGAAGCATGGACAAATTACTTAGACAGAATATCTCGATACAAAGTATCTCAACGCAAACTAGATCTATCTCCGGACAAAACCTCTTTTAAAAAAAAACAACATCTGAGACAATGTATCACAGTTTTCAGTGTATTAGACGACCACCTAATTATATGAATAGGATATACTCAAGACTTCTTGCCCTATATTATGACACGGGGCGAATACAACAATCTCCAACTATCAAATCAAATTTCTTTCAGGCGTCTGTTGGGAGGGGGAGGATGGCGTGGGAAGGGGGAGGGGGGGGTAGCAGAGAAAAATATTTTTTATACAGGAAAAATTTACTGTGGCCAATGCTTCCCGGAAATTTAGAAATGTATGTGCGTCACCCACCCAAAGAAAATTCCTTCCACGGAGGAAAAACACTGCTATTAATAACATTTTCTTGGTTTTAATAACGTCAGCTTATACAAAGGACATCAATGTATATAAACACAAACGCGCAAATCCATTTGTGTATATATATATATATATATATATATATATATATATATATATATATATATATATATATATGGTCAATATATACGCATGTGTGTATATAGTAACAGTATATAGGCACAAAGCCTGTCATTAGCGTGTGTTCTCGCAAGAGATTACCCAGCTAACGCCACAATTTTTCTGGAATTATGTTCCTATCGAGCTGTTTATCTGGTGACCGGTGAACTGAATCGCTCTCCCCTTGACCGCCCCGTATTTTCCGTGCAACAACACGTACCCCGCTGGCGCCTGAATGGCCTCCTGATTGCGACACCGTGTCATGAACTCAATGGTTCTTGAGTTTTGAATAACGCCACTAGATTAAATACAATTTAACTTTTAACTTGGAAAAAGACTATTTTAATTCTATATAACTGTAATCCGTAAAATGTTTTATTGGTAGAGCATATATTATAAATGGCAATATAAAATAAATGTTCATTTTCTTAATATATTTTTGTTAACGGATGAAGGTCAAAAACAAATTAAGTGCCTTGACCTTTCGACCCCTCCTTGTTGTGGACCCGAGTCAACAGTGTACCCACGGGTCAGTTAATGGTAACTTCAACAATCAAGAGTTAATTATCCGTACGTTCATGCTAATCAACGAGGTTTGTTATAAACCATTCGTACCTGTAAACATTTAAAAGATTTGACGCAAATCACTCGGTAGTTAGCTCTCTTTAGTCCGAGTAGCTTCCCTTTATGAACCGATCGCTGTTCGTACTTATTTCATTAACTCCTTTATTTCATTTCTCGATAGTTGACTTTAAAAAAAACCAACTGTCACCTGTCTGGTATTTGCTAATGTTGTTCTTGTTTTACCCCTGTTGCTATGGCAACAATCATGTCGACACACGCCGAAACCAGGCTATTATAAAAACACGTACAAATAGAGGTTAACTTAGCCATAATTTAACCTGTCAACCTTCCGTTTCCTGTGGCTAAATAATGTAATCAGTTTTTGAACGCTGGAAGATAAATCCGTAATTTACAGCAAGTAGGCCTAGCTAATGTGAATGGTTTAATTACAATTTTAATGAGTGTTATTGACATTTAGGATAATTGAGTTCTGTGGATGATTTGATGGAAACGTTGTGGCCTGCAGTTCTGTTAAAGTCTGGAATCAGTGGTCAGTTTACTAGTGTCTAGTGGTGACCATCCATAGACGGGCGAAGTATTTTTGTACAAGTTAGTCTGATCCCCTCCAACACAATTAATTACACGTATCAACTGGTTATGCGTCATTCGTTGACTCTGATTTCAGCCTGCTTTTCTTTTTTTGGATTTGCTTCCATAGCCTTTGTCCAACCAAGAACAAACTACAAGGCAGCAGTTGATTGCTTTTGGAGTTGTCTCTCCTAGAAGAGAGCCTCATCTGTCCGAGGGTTCGAAGTCGAGACCCTTCGGTTAAGCAACCATGAGCTCTACCATAGTCCAATTAATAATTCATATTTAGAAGACTTGCACTATCAGTTTTACATATATAAAGTTTGTTTTTAAATAAAATCTCACAAGACCAAAAATTGTAAAATATTTTATTAAGCAAAAATAAAAATCTTAAAGTTCCTTTCGTGATGTGTTGATAAGTAATTTTAACACTTTAATACTTTCTTGTGGGGTAGTGGAAAGAAATGGGGTCAGGGGGGAGGGGTCACGAGACCCACCCCCTAACCACTAATGTACCCGCCCGTGACTGTCCCCTGTGTAGCGACTAACGAGCTGTTATGTTACTTAGCCGGGCCCGTGTTGTTGATCCCCGGTAGAGTTTGGTCAATATTTTCTCTGCCCTGTACCACGACCGATGGAATGGGTTCAAGGTCACGTTGTTACATTTCTCGACAGTTCTCAAATAATTGGATCATAGCCCTGTATGGCTACACATGTGACATAGCTCTCGTTCACATGTGGTGCTGGGATCATATCTTTATTTTAAAGAAATTCAAGTCGAATGATATCTCATGTTTCTGAATCACCCCCCCCCCCCCCAGCCATTCACCAACGTTGATCATCGTTGTCCAAAGTCAGAACACTCTCCGCTCAGTCAGACCCCTCTCTCCTGATTCAGACCCCTCAGTCATACCCCTCTCCCCTCAGTCATACACCTCTGCCCTCAGTCATACCCCTCTCCCCTCAGTCAGATCCCTCTCCCCTCAGTCAGATCCCTCCCCTCAATCAGACACCTCTCCCCTCAGTCAGACCCCTCTCCCCTCAGTCAGATCCCTCTCCCCTCAGTCAGATCCCTCCCCTCAATCAGACACCTCTCCCCTCAGTCAGATCCCTCTCCCCTCACCCACACACCTCTCCCCTCAGTCAGACACCTCTCCCCTCAGTCATACACCTCTCCCCTCAGTCAGACCCCTCTCCCCTCACCCAAACCCCTCCCCTCTCCCCTCACCCACACACCTCTACCCTCAGTCATACCCCTCTCCCCTCAGTCAGACACCTCTCCCCTCACCCAGACCCCTCAGTCAGACCCCTCAGTCAGACACCTCTCCCCTCAGTCATACCCCTCTCCCCTCAGTCAGATCCCTCTCCCCTCAGTCAGATCCCTCCCCTCAATCAGACACCTCTCCCCTCAGTCAGACCCCTCAGTCAGACCCCTCAGTCAGACCCCTCAATCAGACACCTCTCCCCTCAGTCAGATCCCTCTCCCCTCACCCACACACCTCTCCCCTCAGTCAGACACCTCTCCCCTCAGTCATACACCTCTCCCCTCAGTCAGACCCCTCTCCCCTCACCCAAACCCCTCCCCTCTCCCCTCACCCACACACCTCTCCCCTCAGTCATACCCCTCTCCCCTCAGTCAGACACCTCTCCCCTCAGTCATACACCTCTCCCCTCAGTCAGACACCTCTCCCCTCAGTCATACACCTCTCCCCTCAGTCATACACCTCTCCCCTCAGTCAGACCCCTCTCCCCTCACCCAAACCCCTCCCCTCTCCCCTCACCCACACACCTCTCCCCTCAGTCATACCCCTCTCCCCTCAGTCATACACCTCTGCCCTCAGTCATACCCCTCAGTCATACACCTCTCCCCTCAGTCAGACCCCTCTCCCCTCACCCAAACCCCTCCCCTCTCCCCTCACCCACACACCTCTCCCCTCAGTCATACCCCTCTCCCCTCAGTCAGACACCTCTCCCCTCACCCAGACCCCTCAGTCAGACCCCTCAGTCAGACACCTCTCCCCTCAGTCAGACCCCTCAGTCAGACACCTCTACCCTCACCCAGACACCTCTCCCCTCAGTCAGACACCTCTCCCCTCACCCAGACCCCTCAGTCAGACACCTCTCCCCTCAATCAGACACCTCTCCCCTCAGTCAGACACCTCTCCCCTCACCCAGACACCTCTCCCCTCAGTCAGACACCTCTCCCCTCACCCAAACCCCTCAGTCAGACACCTCTCCCCTCACCCAGACCCCTCAGTCAGACACCTCTACCCTCACCCAGACCCCTCAGTCAGACACCTCTACCCTCACCCAGACACCTCTCCCCTCAGTCAGACACCTCTCCCCTCAGTCAGACCCCTCAATCAGACACCTCTCCCCTCAGTCAGACCCCTCAGTCAGACACCTCTCCCCTCAGTCAGACACCTCTCCCCTCAGTCAGACACCTCTCCCCT